CAGGATAAATTTCTATACATCATCATTTATTCCAATAACTTACTGAGATTTGTTTTATGGTTTATATATAAAACCTCAATTTAAACATACATTGTACAGGGGCGATATGATCGAGGTGTATGAATGGAAGTCAGGGCTAAACAAAGGTGATATATTAACAAAGGTACTCAAACTATCCAACCAGAAGAGAACTCGTAGCAATAGTTTTAAATTAGACAAATTTAGATTTAGGCGCAAAATAGGTAAACATTGGTTTGGAAATAGAGTAATGGATGAGTGGAACAAGTTACCAAACATCATCATTAACTCGAATACGCTGGATAGTTTCAAACATAGGTTGGATGGATATAAGAGCGATAGGGGTTGGGTGTTGTTGGGACTGCCCAGTTTGGGCCAATATGCCCGCTGTAGTTTCCTCCATTCTTATGTTCTTATGTTTTTATATCCTGCTTCACCTTACTTTCATAACCTGCCTCACCTTAACCTTCATAACCTGCCTCACCTTACCTCTCTATAACCTGCCCCACTCCACTCTCTATAACCTGCCCCCACCTTACTCTCTATAACCTGCCTCACGTACCTCTTTAACCTGCCTCCACCTTACCTCTATAACCTGCCCCACTCCACCTCTATAACCTGCCTCACCCCATCTCTCATAACCTGCCTCACTGCACCTCAACCTGCCACCTACCTCTCTATAACCCACTCACTCCACTCTATAACCTGCCTCACCTTACCTCTCTATAACCTGCCTCACCTTACCTCTAAACCCCCACCCCTATAACCTGCCTCACCTTACCTCTATAACCAACCTCACCTTACCTCTCTATAACCAACTCACCTTACCTCTATAACCTGCCTCACCTTACCTCTATAACCTGGCCTCACCTACCTCTCTATAACCTGCCTCACCTTACCTCTCTATAACCGCTCCCACTACTTCTATAACCTGCCCACCTTACCTCTCTATAACCTGCCTCACCCACTCCTCTATAACCAACCTCACCTTACCTCTCTATAACCTGCCTCACCTTACCTCTATAACCTGCCCCACCTACCTCCAACCTGCCTCACCTTACCTCTTAACCTACCTCACCTTACCTCTCTATAACCTGCCCTACCCACTTCTTTAACCCACTCCTCACCTTACCTCCTCTATAACCTGCCTCACCTTACCTCTATAACCTGCCTCACCTTACTCCTCTATAACCTGCCTCACCTTACCTCTCTATAACCTGCCTCACCTTACCTCTATAACCTCCCCACCTTACCTCTCTATAACTGCCCCACCTACCTCTCTATAACCGCTCCCACCCCTCATAACCGCCCACCTACCTCTCTATAAACTAACCTCACCTTACCTCTCTATAACCTGCCTCACCTTACTTCTCTATAACCTGCCTCACTTACCTCTCTATAACCTGCCTCACCTTACCTCTATAACCTGCCCCACTCCACCTCTCTATAACCTGCCTCCCTTCCCTATAACTTGCCTCACCTTACCTCTATAACCTGCCTCACCTACCTCTATAACCTGCCTCACTTACATCTCTATAACCAACCTCACCTTACCTCTATAACCTGCCTCACCTTACCTCTCTATAACCTGCCTCACCTTACCTCTCTATAACCTGCCTCACCTTACCTCTCTATAACCTGCCTCACCTTACCTCTCTATAACCTGCCTCACCTACCTCTCTCTAGCTCCCACCTTACTTCTATAACCTGCCTCACCTTACCTCTCTATAACCTGCCTCACCTTACCTCTATAACCTGCCTCACCTTACCTCTCTATAACCAACCTCACCTTACCTCTCTATAACCTGCCTCACCTTACCTCTCACTTACATCTTTATCTCTCGCTGGTACACACCTTTATCTCTTACAGGTACAGTCTTTTTCATATATATTACAGAGTGATTTGTTCCCCTCATTCAGAATCACTAAATATAAATATCTGTAACATAAATACGGACGTCATGATGAATGCTGTGACCTGATTGGCTGAACCCCAAATTCATGGGGGTAGGAGAGGGAGGAAGGAGGGGAAAGATGACGTGGAGGGAGAGGGCGGGAAGGAGGTGAGAGTGAGTCATACGAGATGCCAAATCCCACCAAAAATGTTTCGCTCTGAAAATCGTTGTCATGTGTTTTGATTTTAACCATTTAACATTTAAATTTTTTTTTACACTATAACGTCGGATATGTGATACTGTAAACATAACAAAGAGTACAGAGATATCAACACAACACACACACACACAATACAAGTTGACCCCTGAGCCGTCGACTTCCACCGTCTGAGCTGAGAGATATATTTTAGCCTCGTGTGAAATTTTCGCTCTGGCTCCCTAGACAAGAATGAGTTTCCGCCTCCTTGATGGTCTATATCCAGCGCTAAAACCTCACAATTATTGTACTGAAAGGGGGGAGAAAAAAGAAGTTGAAAATACAATATCTTTTATTTTTTTCGGTTTGTTTAGGAGTCATTGTGAGTAGACGAAGCCAACAGCCACATCAGGACATCTTGTTATAATAATGGTGAACATACAGTAGATTGTAGTTGTTATTGCTGTTATCAATTTTAAGTCACTTGTTTAGAATTTTGTGGGGTGAGGATATAAATGTGGTAAGTTTACGTGCTCGTTTTTCCATAATTTTTTGTCGTCTCTTATGAACAGATTTCTTCACTTGATTCACTCCAGATTGTCAAAAATAAACATGAGGAGATTTAATGATTCAGCCTCGATATCGGTCACTCAAGAGCTCTACACGAGTTAGTCTGAGATACATTACCTAACGTAACCTAATCTAACCAAACCAAACCCACCCTAATTCACAAGCTGGGGAGCCCTGTCCATCATGCCATCAATACCAAACAAGTTTTTCCCGGAAATAGTGTCACGTGGAGAAAGTTACCATCGTGTTATTAGAAAAATAAAAAGTTCTGCATTCGCCTGGACATTTAAAGCACTATTTATATATCATGATATTTTTACATATGGAAGGTAATTCTCTCGTGGAGTCCAGTTAGTTCTCTGGTAACGTTCTTTTCCAGCATGACTGCCCTTAACACACGAGAAACAACACACTTCCATAAAACCATCTGGCGTGCCCACGAGGAGGTCTATGTACCATTGAAATTCAATATATTTGATAAATTTAAGCACCACCTCCATATTTCTTTTAGGACTCTTTTAGATGATCTGAGTGTGCCAGTGGTATGATAGGTAACTGGTTTACATTTTTAAGAACTTTCCAACTGGTTTTGTAGTTATCATCATGAGACACAGTACAGCACTCAGATGGGTCAGCCTTATGACCTGGTGCATCTAAAAGACCATCAAACCACAGCAGTAAAACACTGAACTGCTCCACACTGAAGAACGTAATGAAACACTTTTTATGTTTTCTGAAGAGAGAAACGTGAGCATCTTTTGTGCAGGAGATTCCACGACTGTAATCCTGAACTAAGTCAGTCAACTTGACAGTTCTAATATCACAGTATAACCACTATTTTGACAACTAAATGTGTTACGGCAAAACTAAAGGCAGATGTGTAATCAACATGCTTCAGTTAGTAAGAAACATCCAATATGATTCATGAACCAAAACATGGTTGACCTTTCATCCGGACTTCCCATTAATTCTGTTTTTACCATACAGTACTCTCTCTCTCTCTCTCTCTCTCTCTCTCTCTCTCTCTCTCTCTCTCTCTCGTCCTCGCCAGTTTACCCTCTCAAAAGTAAAAAAAATAAACTAGTGAGTCCGTTTCACTTTGCTTCAGCTTAAGAGAAGAGTTTGCGTGCACCAATTAAGGAAAAAGTTACTTTTAATTTTCTGGGAAGGAAACAATAACCGTGTAATTAAGAGTCGGTGATGAGAGGTGTTCCCTGTGGCACCGAACCCTGAATACTTCTTTATAGGGACACAGTTATATAAATAAATACGTTTTTCTGAACACATGACGGCAGATAAACTCCTTATATACATATACATACAGAACCCCCCCACACACACACACAATCCACCCCCCAGACACAGAACACACACACACACACACACACACACACACATACAGCCGGACACACACACACACACACACATATATTTAACTGCTAACCCAACCTTAACCAAATTTAACCCAACCAGACCGGTCTAACCTAACCTAATCTAACCCCCAAGGTAGTGTTATGGTGTGTTTAATCATCAAGTTGAGGTGGGCTAATCCTCGAATAATCCTAATTTGCTCTATTGTGCTTATCTGATAAAGACTACTGAGGGTCATTATCGCATCTTCATTATACGGTTGAATCACTGTATTGAACCACACATTGTATTTAGCTTCTGTTTATTATATTTAATTTAACTTAACTGTGTCGAACCCTCAGTACACTTCCTGAACCATTGTAGGTATCGTCATGGTCGTTCCAAACTTCATCAAAAATATTATTATACCAAAATAGAGGATTTATCTCTCTCTCTTACAAAGCCTCTGACCTGATGATAAACGAAGGACGTGTATTTTTAACCTCACCCAAGATGTTACCGAGAGATACAATATTACCGGTATGGAGTGAAATAGATAAGAAGACGACTTTGTCCTCCTAATACAGTGGTTCAAAAATAAACTTGCACACATGTTTCAAATAATATTCTTTAAATGCTATCAAGATTAAGGGGGTCTATATATTACTCCAATGATTAACCTTCCCCTACCATCAGTTAATTCTAACCAAATTGTTTCTGTACTTAGTTCAGTTTTTATTTCCATATTTAGTTCACACTTCAGATTATCCCTGACATAGGTCACTATACTGTAGGCAAGGCGGGAGGTTATTATACGCTAGGCAATGTTAGCGTTAGGATGTTTCATCTTAAGGTGGAATAAGATTAGGGGGTTAATCTTCAGATGATCTCAGCCTCTGTACCCTTGACGTGATCCCTTTTAACCAGGGTCACGGTACCCCTAACACTGACTATTTCTTCCTTTGTTCCAGGTGGTTGCCTCAACTACGGCCATTCCTGCCTTGGAGGTGAGTACTGCAGTGCCTTAATTCAGGTCAGGTCAGGTCAGGTCAGGCATGGTATTTTCGAGTGGGTCAGATTAAGTCAGAACAAGTTTGCTCCAGTCATGGTATTCAAACTGAGTCAGGCCAGACCCAGTCATGGTATGTTAAAGCGAGTCAAGTAAAATAATTACAGATGTATTTTACTTAATTCTATTTAAATATATTTACACTTAAGTTACCGCGTTCCTTTTTGCGACAGAAACAACCCCAAGACGTTTAGACCGTGGTCACCAACCCTCAGATGTGAGGACGGCACTTTGATTGATTGATTAATGCGTTGTGGAGTGATAAGTCTTCATGGGAGAAGATACTGTGAATATCTGAATAAGTCAAAATAATTACCTTCCGTGTAGAAAATGTTGGGCTTGCGTCAGTGTGACGTCACATTTAGATGATACTGTAGTGGACGTCTCCCCTACAAACTGCGTAGCACCGCCACCACCTGCTATCACATTCCAACGTGCCGTTGCCTAGCAACCAAGCGAGAGCTGTCCCCAGATGTTACCGTATCTTAGCAACGAAACTATTCACCGGCGACTTCTCGGGTTTTCCCAACATGAGTCATAGCGGCTGCTGGGTATATAAGCTCTGTCTCTCCATTGAGTTTCATTCTGACCATTCTTTGAACGCAACACCTCCTCCCCGCGCGCTGCCTGGCTCACTCCCCCTCGCCTGCCTGGCGGCCCGCTCCCGCCAGCGAGCATGGCGACCCACCAGCTGTCCTTCTCTGAGCTTCCTCACCAACCAACTCTCATTCTGGCCCATCTTCCTGAACACGCAACACCTCCTCCCAGCAAGCTCCTAGCTGTCCAGCATTCATTCAACCAGGAGGCCAGCAACAGGCAACATCTTCTCTAACAGAACTGCACATCTACCTCCTTCAACACGCTACTCACCGAACGTCTTCTACTGAGCAGCCACCACACAGGCACCTCCAGCACCAGACTGTCTATCATATAACTTATATTATATAAGAAAACCACATTAGAGTTTCCTTCCACTGAGTGCTAGACAACATTAATATCTCGATACCCCTACAAATGGTGACTCCGGGTTAGCACTCACACAGGATGGAGGAGACACTGATCACGCTCCCAGTCTTCATACCGGCTACTCTTCCTGCCCCACGCACCACACTTAATGACCCAGCACACCGTCACGCCGACCGGGCGACCCCGGCTGGCAACCTGCTGCCGTTCCAGACCCACACACACCCCTCTTTTCTCCCTCAAGTACTCCTGCTAATGTCCTGCACCCTGCTGCTGGCCGCGGTGGACCCAGCCGCGAGCTAATCCGCTGCTGCGGCGGCCCCTGCTCCTGACGAACCCGCCGCAAGGCATGCGCAGAGCTGTCGACATTCATCGCCTCCCCTTCTCCACAGATAGTGTGTATCTAGACAGTTGTATTTCAGCGATCGGCTCATCACGCCATCGCCGTTGTCTCACATGAGGCGCCCGGTCTGCCTCACGTGCGCAACTCTACAGACAACAAGTCTCCTACACGCGCGGAAGAGGTGTGAATCTACACAACTACGCGGCAGTCACCACCTGCTATCACATTCCAACGTGCCGCGCTAGCAACCGAACCAGTCACCGGCGACTTTCTGGGTTTCAACATGACTCATAGCGGCGCTGGGTTATATGACTGTCTCCTAGTGAGATTCATTCTGACCATTCTTCTTGAACAAGCAACACCTCGTCCTCTGCCGCTGCCTGGCGGCCCTCGCTCCGCCAGCAAGCGACCACCAGCTGTCCTTCTCTGAGCTTCCTCACCAACCAACTCTCATTCTGGCGTCTTCCTGAACACAACACCTCCTCCCAGCAAGCTCCTAGCTGTCCAGCATTCATTCAACCAGGAGGCGGCAACTCTGGCTCCTGCATCATCTACAACACTCTACCCGAACGTCTTCTACTGAGCAGCTCCCACCACACGGCACCTCCAGCACCAGACTGTCTATCACATAACTTATATCATGTAAAGCCACATGGTTTGTGCTAGCATTAATATCTCGATACCCCCTAATAGGTTCACTGTGGCAGCCACATGGTGATGGACGATCACTTAATAGTGTTATTATATCCACTATCTCTGTTACTATTATACGACCTTCGATGATAGCCACAGTACCAAAAAGGGATTTTGTTTGAAATGTTGGTTAGGATGAGAAAAATCACAATATTCAACATTCGTGCGAATATACGAAATGCGTAACTTGTCACAAAATTCTGTTGTATTTACCCCTGTCCTTAAAACTCAAAATCCTATGTGTGATGTGTAGTGTTTGTCTGTGTGATCCTTGGCCTTGAGTCGCACCTACCGACTCATGAATGGCTGATAGATTGTTAACATACTGTACCAGAAGAATGGTAGTAAACACGCCGGCAATGTGAACGAACCACCCACCTTCCTACACCCTCTCCGTGTACTGCTACCGACAAATGACAGGGGTGACTGCCATTTACACACAATATGAGTAAAATGACATTCAACGTTTAACACTTGACATATTTTTCCGGTATGTCGTACCTAATTGGTGTTTGATGTGGTAACCAACGTAATAAACTTATATTTTTAACAACAACACTTTTCTCCTATGCTTTCATTCATGTATCCGCGTCGCATTGGAAGAAATAACCGGACATGACGGTAATTAAGGACAATATGCAAAACAACCTTCTATTTGCATATCCTCGAGCTTCACGTAACACCTGGATCAATAACAAACGAGAAAAGTGTTAAGAAACATGTGAACTCTCCCATCCCATCACCACTCCCTTATGTTCTAGAATCTAGAACTAGATAATGTTATTAGAGCATGTACGACCCTGTCCAGCGTAGGCTCCCCTTCGTGTAGTAAAGTTAGTGTGGTTTAGATAGCAACAAGTCTGTTTACACAAGTAACGAGTTTGACGAGTTCCACTGAATGAACACCATCAAGAACCGGTGTTGTTGTTTTTCCTACCCAAAACACTGACCGACTCACTTAACAAATCCTCAAGCTTCGTTATTTCTGTTAAGGTTTCCAAACAAGAAATAATAAGACAATATATGACACTACGATAAGTTTACTACATTGCTTACTTAAGTCTCATCTACGACCATAAAACTCAGCGAAGAACACGATTCACTGAGAATTTATATATCTTGAAGTAATATTTGAATGTTGATCAGATGAAAAGCAATCTTTATCACTAATATCTATATCTTTCAGCACACGGCAAGAGGGCCTACGTACCCGTTCACCCACCTGTGGCCCCACGCCCACTCCTAGACGTCTTACTGGACGCCCTGAACACGCCCACCCGTAGCAGTCATTACTCTCACGCCCGTGCAGCCAACTCTGTAATGGGACCAAGAGCCAGGTGAGTCTCAGCGACTTTGTATCTCGTTTTTTATAAAGATTAATGCCCTGAAATTATTTTATTATTTCTAATGACATTTGTATTAGAAATGTACACTCGCTACAGAAAGTATCTGCAAGGTGGAGACCGATGAATGTTGGGAGGAAGGTGCCCAGTGTGCCCCCTCCTTAACACAGCTTCCGTTTTGTTTGGAACCTTAGACCTTAGCGATCCAGATCCTTATCATTGGCAACATATTCATTGTAACCAAAGACTATAATAAGAAAGACAGGAAAGCGTCTACCTTTATCGATAAAAAAAAGTGAGCCACTGAGCTCCGATCAACACCATCTGTTGGCAACGCGGCTAACTAAAAGCCCGGGGCGCATGAGGTTATTATATCCATGTTTCCATGGAAACCAGCGGAGTAAACTGATAATTAATTTATTACCTTCACGTTCATAATGTGTACACATACATGTACGCACACACACTGACTGCAGATGCAGAGATGTTCAATGCATAGACCTCTTGGAGAAGGGTAATAAAGGTGCATAGTGCTACATATCAAAACTCTTTATACTGCTATATAAAAAAATAAACTACATTATATTGCAGTACATAATGCAAATATAAGAAAACAGTCAAAATCCCCATGTAGTAATCCTTCATGCAATGTAAACATCAAAACCAAAAGCAATAAAATATGAGTCTTGCTGCATTCTAATGCTATACTGCACACTGCTGCTTGTTCTTAATCAACTTATAACACGCAAAAACACATATATGTGTACAAATCACACATCCTTACTAACCTTGTACATTAAATGTATGAAGACCATGTTGAGACACAAAAACAATAAAACATGCTGTAGTAGTACAAACGTTATCTATTTCCCTCAATGCACGTACATTAAAAACAGTGCTGAAATTACCTTTTTTTTTTCTTTGGGGAAAACATGAAACACAAGCTCACGGTTTGTTTTGTACGTGTGCATACGGCACACGAATGGTGGTGACGCCCACTCATGGTTAAATGTCCGAGTAAACAGCGACGTACAGACGACCCGCGTCTTGCACACTAACGCCACCTTTTCATTCCGCGGCCAACTATATGCTGTGTGGCTTACGCGGTTTTCGCCTTGCTTTCCCGTCTTTCTTATTATAGTTTTTGATTGTAACACTCAGTATTGCGAGAGACTTAAGAGTTTTATCTAACTGTCCAAAACCCAAGAGCCGTGCTATCTGATCTGAGTTATAAATATTTTAATTATTTGATGGGTTAAATAGTTTCACTGGCACATTAGCGAATTTAGCACACACTCTTCCAATGTGTACGTGGCCACCAGCAAAGCCTCGCATCTCTCTTCTCTTACTGTACTTATAGATTCATCCAGCCACAGTTCATGTTGAGAATTCTCATTTTTTTTTATTTATTGACCCATTTTCTCTGAACTTGTATATACCTCTGACTAAAACTGACGTTAAATTTAGTATTGTATACGACTACTTCACCAGGGTTACAGCAAAACGGTTTATCATATGACCACAAACAACCAAATACTGCAATATATCTCCCAAACTCACCGCTCAATACATGTACTGTTAAGAAACACAAGGCAAGTTTGCGACTGGGTGGGAGACTATACAAACGAACCACAATCCTAAATTAATGGAAAAAATACCCTCACACCAAGGTAGGTTTGGTTGGTCTGTCGTCTGCTGTCAAAAATTGTTTCCTGCTCGAAGGTAAAAAAGCTGGTTTGCGTTTCAACTCAACGTTTTCGGGAAACGGGAAGAAAATTTTACTTACGGTAATCCAGACTAATAAAATTGTAATAATTTATCAACTTGTATAGAATCAAAAGCATGACTGATAACTTTAATTTAAAAGTCCCGACTATTTACATAAAACCAACCCCCTGATCACAAAATAACAATTAAAAATGCAGAATTTTACATTCTTGTGTATGTAAACTAGTTATTTCTCGAGAACGTTTGTATGTGGGAAAAGATGGTCCTTACTTCGAAAATGGCCCATATCCTCCTTAGCAACAGCAATGTCCGTATTACAGGTTTTCCGTTTTTCCAGATAAAATGCTTCCACCGCGGCCGCTTAAACTGCTGTCTGCTGTTGTTCAAGTCACAGTGAAGTGATCGCGGTATTGCTAATATCCAATAACCATTAAATTTGTAAACATTGTAAAATCTTAGTGAATTTCGTTGCTTCCATAATTTAATGTTTCTTTCTTACGTTATTTTGTGGCCCAGAGATATAATACAAAATAGAAATAAGAACCACCTATTTTATACCAAGAAAATCAGACTAATTAGCCTATTGGTTATGTAACATAAGGATGGGTTTGGTTGGTCCGTTTTACCTTGTGGGGTACGAGATGTTTGGTTCACACTCAGGATGTATTGGTTGTATTGGATGTACAATGCAGCTTGGTGCCGGGAAGTGGCAGCGTGGTTACAAGCGTGATGTAGAGAGAGCTGGTTGGTGAGGATGCTCAGAGGAGGACAGCTTGTGGGTCGCCATGCTCGCCGGCGGGAGCGAGGACCGCCAGGCAGGAGCGGAGGAGGAGGATGTGTTGTAGCTTGCTGCGGCTGTAGCTAGAAGAAGAGAGTGGTCGAGTACGAGTACGAAGTCTTTAGTTAAGAGGTGAAAGAAGATTATTAGGGGTTGAGGGAAAAGTGGTGAAACTGAAATACAGCAGGAGTAGAAAGAATCTGGGCTCAACCAGATCGCTTCATCTTGAGAGTGGTCACCACGAGGTCAGGTCTTAAATAGCGGGGGTAGGCGTGGCTTAGTAGTTGACCTCCGTGATGTATGGCGGCGCTGGTTGACCCAGACCACGAGGCATACACTGGGGAATTCGCGGGGTCGGCTACTCAGCGACAAACAGCGTTTGTGGGGGAGAAATCCACTACAACCTTGTTATAAAATGAGTGAATAAATAATTACTTTGGAAGAAACACAAGTGAAATAGCAAAATAAATAAGCTGCAATTCTTCAGTACAAAGTTTAAATAAAAGCCAATTTAGGAGCGCAAGATAAAATGTTATTAATATAGGCCTACATCATTATATATCAATATTGTTGTCAAAGACTATAAGAAAGACGGGAAAGCTCAGGTATAAACAACTTGGTGTAATATTTTCTTAGACCGTATAGCTCGCCATCTATTGAGCGCAAGAGGCATAATTTATTATTATTTGAAAACATGTGTCGCCGTCTGTAATCAGAAGTTGTTTGTCTGTAATCATAACCTTTTTCTTTCAACTGGTCCTAAAGAAAACAATTGAAATGCACAAAACTTGGTGTATGGTGTAGTATACAGTTGAGTGATACTTTATGTAAAGACGACTTTCCTAACGATCGTCTTATGCACCACAGATTCACACATCACCTTCACGTAAATCTTAGTGGATCAAAGTAAATATTATTAGAAAAGTTTAAGATACTAGTGAGACCGACAATCAAATGTAGTCTCAAATATCAATAAGACATAACTTGAAATGCACTTTCTATACGCCAAGCCTGACTGCTAACTTAAGGGTGATATTTGAGAACTTGATTGATTCTATTGTATATTTCTTACAAACTGCTAGTGAATAAAGACGCTGTGCCTCTATTATGTTAGCTTACTGATATTTCACACTTCTGGTACGTACAATAGTCTGTGTTTGCTTCAAGATGGGAGACGGATGTCGAGTAATAGTCAGTATACAGTATAGGGACAATCATGTAGATAAATCATAATATAAACTCACCTGACTTAAGGTATCCAAACCTAATTCATAGTACTGTAGTCCTGACTTCCCTCGAGTAATCGCCTTGGAAGTGAGCGAGTGAGGCTTCTCCCTCTATTGAGGCTCACTCTCGTTTACCATGTTCACTAACACAATATCTTTAATTTTTCTTCTAACTAAATTTGATTGGTAGAAGATAATTCTGTAAGTGTAATAAATATTACATTCAGTATATAATGTGAAACTACCTGCCAGATATGGATAGATGATAAGTCTGCCATTTTGTTACCTAGAAAAAATTTCCTATCATCAATTTACCATAGTGTTCACATAGCTGGTATCATTAAGAAACAGGGCGGTATTCCAAGTAATAGAAAATGAGAGTGAAACGGAGGCGAAAATGGTTCAACATTCAATATTTTACAACCTTTGGTCCTTCGTAGTAATTACACCACAGAACATAATTATTTACTTATTAATTCATTCAAGAATAATATACCAGCGTGGCTGTTTTCGTAATTATTTTATGCAAGCTTTCACTTTGGCTAACTCTCACCGATTTTATTCAGCACAGAGACCCTCCCTCCGTATACGTACAGGTACAAGGGGTTAATATATCATCTCCAATGATCACGTATAAGAAGTCGGTCCTTGTACTAGACACCAATTAGTTAAATTTTGATTTAGTAATTCTTTGTTATAGCGTATTATTATTTAAATTCTGTACTACTGTGTTTCATCAGTTAAGGTCTCGGTACACAATCACAAAGTCAGTTTCTACACTAAACAACACTAGTACTAATTAAGGCGGATATATAGTACTGGGTGTTGATGTAAATCGTTCTTTGCGTGATAAATACTGTCGCCTGATGACTGGCTGGTAGAGTGCTTAGCCTAATTGCTAATGGATCGTGGAGGGTAATGACCGGGAGATGGATACTGATGTCTCTCTGTTGATCTCACTATTACATTTATTTATTCAACGTTCATAGTAATTTATTTTTTCTAATGTGATAATCTAACAGACATTCAGGAGTGAGCGCAAACTATTGAAATTTAAAAATATATTTCTTAATCCTTATTTTGTTACACCTACGGTGGTAATTCACGAAATACTGTGACATTTACCATCGCAGACACGATAATAGAGCGTCCCATGTAGCCAGCCACCAGTGAGAGCGCTGGAGCCCCGGCCACGACGACCAAGACAAACGTCTGCAGTGAAATACTGCTGGTTCCTCTTGCCTAAGAGCCTACCTATACTGTACCACTCTCCCCCTCCAGGTTTCAGACGTCACCCTGCTGACCCTCCCCAGGCACATCACATGTCTCATATCTCTTCGTCTATTTCCCTTTTACACCTTCTTCCTTTCTCCCCTAGTCTGTTACTTTATCCTCTAGTTAGGCTATCGGTCACGTTTGTTACGCACCGTTGGCAAGTACTGGGCATGTTTTGGCTCCATATGTATCTGTACCTGCGCCAGTGTTGGTCAACATTGATCTTAAATGAGCTCACACTCGGTGATTTCAACCCCTTCTTCTCTAGTTTCTTTCCACAAGGTACATTTTTAACATATATTTTCCCTTCTGCATCTCATCTCCTTAATTATTCCTTCATTCCAGTGTCTATAATTTCTTCTTTACTTAACCTTTATCTCTCGCTTCGTACCCTACTACCCACGCTGTACCTTATTCCACTTGGAGTTTATCATTACCCTCGATATTTCCCTCCGAAAATCAAATCCTTTCCCAGTATAATCTATCATTTGATCCAATTGCCCATTGATCCTCAACTGTTCACGGCCTTCAACCTCTCTCCCTCCTTCTGCCACTACTTCGGGTAATAAGATATTGTTCTTTAACTTCCAACACCCACACCGCCTTTCAACACCCCACACCCCTTCAACACCCGACACCCCTTCATCACCCTACACCCCTTCAACACCCACACCCCTTCAAAAACCACACCCTTTCAACACCCACCCCTCTTCAACACCCTACACCCCATCAACAACCACACCCCTTCAACACCCTACACCCCTTCAACACCCCACACCCCTTCAACACCCCACAACCCTTCAACACCCTACACCCCTTCAACACAATGAAACTTGAAGGCCTTCACCCCTACCACGACCCACACCAAGGACATCTTTGCATGACACACGACGGAGTAGTAGCAAGACAGGTGGGAGGCGAGGAAGGGCACCTCTCACACTCACTGTCGGGATGGAGATGAGTAGGACTGACAGGTAAATGAGAAAGGGGACGGGGACTTGTGTTGTTGGTGAGCAAGTGAGGGAGAGGCGAGGGTGATTGTGAGAGAGAGAGAGAGAGAGAGGAAAGAAATGTTTTACGGTGAACGTTTCAGTTGTTGGGTTTCCTTTCTAAACTAAGGTGACCAGACAAGAGGCATGGTGAGCTGCTGATACGTCTACTATAACACACACACTCCTCCATAAACTTTAGTCGACAAGATATTCACCACAATATATGAAAACTTAATACATCGACAGCATGGAGTGTGGTATTACCGTATCGTCTTTTACTCAATGTGTCTGTCTGTACTCTACGGTGCCTGGAATCTACACTCACGCGAGTCTGAAAGTGGCAGTACTCACTGGGTACAGGAACTCGCACGAAGTTCCCCGACTATATAATTGTATTCATGAGGTTAAAACGTTAAAATTTCAAGAGGTCAGTTAGTTAGGGTATGTAGAGGGAAGCATTTGGATGACCCAGAATCTAACTGGATAACTAACTTTACTGTACGTCACATGTCGACAGTTCAAGAACAGTTATGGGGTGTACGACGCCATTTATGATGACCTTCTTGCCCTGATCTTTTTTCAGCAATATCACCTTTAACACATGGAACTCTGCACTTTTCGAAGCTTTGAAGGAATCTCAAAACAAATCTCCTGGTGGGAATTATTAGCTAGTACTGTACTCAAAATATCGAAACTTCGAGATCTCTCCAGAGCTTCGAAAAGGTGGTATTCCTGAAACAAGATCAGGGCAAGAAGGTCATCGTAAATGGCGTCGTACACCCGATGACTGTTCTTGAATAACCCAGACCAGCTAATTGGGGTTGCTGGAATATAAACAGTGAAACAGTCTGGTGCCAGGCATAAATAAAATAAAACTATACTCTTGAAAACATTTCCTCATCTCTTAACCTTTTCTTGGGGATAAAGGTAAGAGAAATTAGAGAAAATTAATATGTGTATTATTTTGGTTTATCAGTTTATATGAAACAAGAGTTACTGTATATGTTTCTGAACACAGCTATCCTGAGGGCCGCGTTAAGTCACCACCAACCTCGGATCAACTGTCTGATATGGGTCTAGATTTGAGGGGAGAAGACTATGCGAGTGGCACCAACGACGACCTCGAGAGTGTGGGCGCGATCGGCGGTGTGAGGGGCAGCCTGGATGATACGAGAGACCTGGCCCAAGACAATGTGCTCTACTATGGTGTTCTCAATGATGACTACAGTGACGCCCGCTATAAGAGGTGAGATGATGGTGGTGGTGGTGGTGGTAATAGTAGTGGTGGTAGCGGTAATGGTGGTGGGAATAGTAGTAGTAGTAGTAGTGGTGGTAATGGTGGTGGTAATGGTAGCAGTAGTAGTACAGTAGTAATAATCGTCGTAGTTGTTGTTTTGGCAGTAGTTTTGGTTGTAGTAGTAGTAATGGCGGCGAAGGTGTGGCTATTGGGGGGAGGCTGGAGGCCATGTTTAAAATAAGTGGTAGTAGTAATAGTAGTAGGCAGCTTCACTCCTCTGGTGTTTACAACATCTGGTGTTATGGGACCAAGTGTAAGATACTTCTACGCCAGACTGGCCAAGGTGTTATATGAACAGAAGCAGCAGCCCAGAAGTTACGTTACAGCCTGGTTGAGATATCGACTGTCCTCTTCGCTTAGGTCTACATTCCTTTGCCTCAAGAATACGAGACCTTCGACCCCAAAGCCGACAACGGTCGCAGATATTGACTTGAGGCAACAGTCACTGAATGCCGCATAAATCTACAGCCTAAATAACTCAACACAACACTACTTTTGTATTAGGATATTTAATTTTAAGGTAATAAAATGACGGCAAAGGTGTGGCTATTGGGGGAGGCTGGAGGCCACATATTATAAAAAATAAAAAAGTAGTAGTAATGGTAGTACAGTAGTAGTAGTGGTAGGAGTAATAGTGCTAGGAGTAGTAATGGTAGTAGTAGTAATAGTAGTAGTAGTAGGAGTGGTAATTGTGGTAACAGTGGTAGGAATAGCAGTAGTAGGAATGGTGGTAGGAGTTGTAAAAAGTACCGAAATATGTGACTGAAGTAAAACTTGCTCCATTGGCAAAATGTTACTCAAGTAGAAGTAAAATAGTATCTCATTCATAAGGTACAAGAGTACTGAAAGTAAAAAGTGATAAAAAAAATCATTAATCGTGTCAAATATTTAAATAAATCTACAGTAAATTATAAAAAAAAACTAATTATAAAAATAAAAGACACACAGCATTACACATATTTATTTGCAAATCTTTCAATTAAGATTAATCACTAACTGATTCTTGAAATTATGGCTTTCCAATCAGGATCATTTAAGCCTAAATATAAGCCCAGTATGTTCTTATGTACTGGAAGAGAATACGTTCAGCCGCTCTTCTCCCTAAATTCCATCACACGGATAGTGAATGGGCTGAAAGTATACCCAACCAAAAGTATGATCACTTTCTTCCTTATCCAAACAAATATCGATCATATCGCCCCTCACTGTCCGTCTCTTGAGGGAGTTCAAATTAAGATGCTTTAATCTGTCTCTGTACTCAAGGCTCCTAATGCCTGGAATTAGTCTTGTTATTCTCTAATGAATGCTTTCTAGGGATTCTATATCCATTCTGTAGTACGGGGACCAGAACTGAATTGCAAAATCCAAGTGAGGTCTCACATTCGCAAGATTTAGTTTTAGGATAACCTGGCTAGTCTTGTAACTAACACTCCTTTGTATGAACCCAAGTACAGCAGCTGTTCCCTTCCCACCAACATACCAATCAAATTTTTTACCATAATTCATTAAGGCCAAGGATTGTACAAGTGTGTGAGTGTGTGTGTGTTTGTGTAAGCCCCATATTTGTCCCTGTTTGTCTATTTGTCTTTGTTTATCTTTTAACATCAGATATAGTATACAACATCCTTTCATCAGGAGTGCCGTCTCACTACCCTCCCGGGGGCGCCTTGGAGCCTCCCCTCCCCTGGGCGTGGCTAACAACGCCGTTCCACAAGATAGGCCACACATACTCCGAGAGGAACACACCGGGAAAGACGAGATGGATCCCAAGTACCTCGCTCTTGCTTCGTTTCCTGTGAGTACCATTTTGTTAGCCAGCGATCCGACGCTACTGCCTGTGGTTGTTTTGGTCTAAGACAAGAGTATCCTGGCGTGAGATTGAAGGTTTGTAAGCTTCATGTAATTTAATTAATAAATCTTCACCTGTATTCCATCATCGGTGGATTAATTTCCATTTTCCCTGTAATTGGGGCAGGCAAAGGCAACACATATCATAACAAGCGTTACAGAAAATGTGAATATTGTCGGTCATTATAATGAGTGTGGTGTGAATATGGTTTATGTAAGGATTTGTTCTGGTGACTGGCTACACAAAGCAAAAATGAGTAAATATTAACTCATAGCCAGTATGAATGAATCATGGTATTAAGCGACAGGTTAACTTATAATATGCTTTTTAAATAATATAATGTCCAGTCTTGTTAGCCACACAATTCCTCTAGCCCACTTCCACTGTTAACCTCTTCACCCCCCACCAGCCCATCACCCGCCTCTCACACCAGCTCCCGGCCCCCCACTCGACGTCAGGAGCGAATGAACATAAGAACATAAGGAGTCTGCAATAGGCCGGTTGGCCTGTGCATGGCAGCTCTTGTTGGAGTTACTACCACTCTCTATCATCCGTGAATCTATCCAGCCTCCTTTTGAAACTTTCCAGCGTTCCAGCACTTACTACAAAGTTGCTAAGCTTGTTCCACTCGTCCACCACCCTATTTGTGAACCAGTTCCTTCCTATCTCCCTCCTAAACCTAAACTTATCCAACTTAAATCCGTTGCCCCGAGTCCTATCCTGCTCGGATATTATAAGAACTTTATCTATATCCCCTTTATTGATTCCTTTCACCCACTTAAATACTTCTATCATATCTCCCCGCACTCTTCGTCTTTCTAGGGAATGCAAGTTTAGTTTCTTTAACCTATCTTGATATGGAAGGTTTCTAAGTCCCGGAATCATTTTCGTCATTCTTCGCTGCACCGACTCTAGTGAATTGATATCCATTCTATAATAAGGGCACCAGAACTGAACCGCATAATCGAGGTGCGGCTTGACTAGCGCAAGATATAGTTGTAATAAGACCCCTGCACTCTTATTACTTACACTTCTAGATATAAAACCCAATACTCTGTTAGCCTTATTTCGAACATTAACGCACTGTTTTCTAGGCCGTAGGTCCGGGTTTACAAGTACCCCTAAGTCTCTCTCACAAGTCGACTTCTCTAGGTTGATGTTGTTAAGGCTGTACACATTGACAGTATTTGTTCTTCCAATATTAAGTACGCTGCACTTGCTGGTGTTGAACTTCATTTGCCATTTTTCAGACCACCCCTGCAGTTTATTTAGATCCTCCTGTAGTGCATTTGTATCCTGCCCTGAATTAATCTGCCGCCCTATTTTGGTGTCATCCGCAAACTTGCTTATGTCACTGCTTTGGATGCAGGTTCATACTCCTGTGGTTCACAACTCTCAGAGACGAGGATTGAGATTTGAAAATGCTGACTGTAGCAGGTGGAAGTGTGGGAGGCTGTACATAACTATTACATACTTACATTACTTGCTAACCCAGAGTACGTACATAATTTGCTATCAATCATAACTGGCTCCGCTGACCACCGCCCAACCACCAGCTTCACATCCTTGTCCATCCATGAATGCTCTGCCCTCCTCCCTCATGTACTGCATCATTACATGGACCATCCAAAGAATCCACGATCCATGACTCTAGGTCTGGAACATCAATTCGAGAGATCAAGTAACGGGGTGGCCGGAGCAGCGGTCAGGCAGCAGCTAAACACAGGAAAATGGTCAGGCATCACTTGGGTCTTCAAATTTGTTCTCCTATATCCAGCTTCATAATAGTACCAGGTTAATTTGAGGTGTCAAATATCAACAAGATATGGAATCTTTTTCACACAGAAGAATGGCTGCCTTATTTTTCCAACTTGAAGTTATTTATGAGATATACTGGAAATATTTTTCTTTAACTTTGTTTACCTTTTTTTAAGCATGGGCTTACGAAACACGGGCACGGTACAATGCCCTTCTGTAACACGAGCATAATTACACTGTTATCTCATATCACTATTACTAAAGTACCGCTATCAATATTTTGAAAGATTAACACAAACCATAACCAAATATATTAAAACCTGTTCCTTCTTATTTCAGAACTGGTTGAGGCGGTGAGTTTGTCGTCTGCATATCAGCTGAGGTTGACGGTTCAAGTCTTCATATACTGTAGCTGTATCACCTCTTTGCCAATATATTCTCTCCTTGCTATTTTCATTAATCATGATTCTTATAAAGCCTTGATAAAAATAAATATATATCCTTAATTTAATAAAATACATAACTACCAGTTTTTATTGCTAGTGTGCAATTAATCTCCCACTAGTAAAGACTTGGGGGGGAGGGGGAGATGTGTGCTATTGCAAAGGTTTTGTCATAAAAAAATATAGTATGTAATTTAACATATACAATATGTGCAGTAAAATAAAGTGCAGTAACTCAAAGATTTTCTAATTTTTGCCTCAAAAAGTTACTGTATATTTCCTCAAAAATTCAAGGATATATATATACATATATATCAGTATTGAAAACTAATCTAGTGCTCTGCCGTCAACACAGAGGTGGAAGCGTTGAAAATTAGTGACGTTAGCCTCGCAATTAATTAGATAAATGTAGGCCTACTGTATCACCCCAGCAACAATTAGTGTAATTAGACTACAGAAGACGGATAATGTCCATTACTATAATTATACGCCCCGTTTCTCCCAGGGAAAAAAATAGCTTAGCTTATTATTTTATGTTGCTGATTTTATGATGATGACTCGACAACTCAGAGTGCACAGGTCAATTTGCTGCAGAAAAACAAAGAAAAGAAAAGGTTGGGCACAGATATCCTTTGTTGAATGATTTACTGTATTTTATAATTTTTCGTTGTAATTAATATCACGTTGTACTTGCATAAAGGAGTTATCCTTAGACAAAAACGTATATAATAATGTCATATACTGTAATATCCTGTGTCGACAACATATTAAATTTGCGATCTAAAGACATATGTTTTTGTTTTCATTTACCTCAAGATGATGAGATTGTCATCTAAAAGATACAGTACATCCATTATGTAGGTGGCCCATATTTTATATGACCCATTTTAAAATTTATGACTTAAGTAATTATAGAGATGCACAGGACTCGAGTTATTTTCTCTGGTCGTAAGTAAGACTGGCATGTTCTGGTTATCATATTTTTGAAGATATTAAGTTTAAAAATGGGTCACATAATTTATAGAAATCCTGTACAACACTGCCATACAATTACCACACACAACAGTTAAGTTTCATATTCTGAATCTTCCTTTTGTTTACTTCTCAACACATATGAGCTCTAATTCACAAGAGAAATGGTGATACGAACATAATTCTCTTTTGGGTAGTATACCAGTATACCACGTTTTTTTTTAAGATAGTCTGTGAATTTCTCAAGAAAAGATAATGAGACGTGAGAATAAAGCATTAACTTGTAGTGAGCTATCAGAGGTTACGACAGAAATCTATTTTCATTCTCACAAGTTAAAATATACGTAAGGTTATACATCGTTTGATGATACAGTGCAATTAAGGTATACCTTGACTTTCAATAAGGTCGGTCAGCTTTGAATCAGAACACACTTTACAATACAACTTGAATATTTGCATAAGTAAAATTTGATAATGTAGTACTGTGTACATAAGCAACAATTTAATAAATAAAAAAAATTGTTGAATAGTTACAGTACTACAGTTAACTTAGCCTACCTAAGATGCCGGGTACCCTTAAAACTACCAATGGTTGTCGCCTTTTCGCCAGCCTCAATGCACCTTCTCACCTCCACTATAACAGCAAAAGAGATGTATTACTGCTGTTCATTTCATTTGTTGATAGCTTTCCTGACATCTTTAAAAGGGAAAATCACTGAGAACATACAAGAAAACACATTGCTGACGAGTTCTGCTGAAATGTGGAACTGGATTCGAACTATATCATTGGCTTATAAACAGTGTTAAGATATACTTACTTTACTTAATCCTCTTCGCCACTGATCAGCTCATTAGCCGCTTGGGTTGTCAGTCATGTCTCTGTTACACATTGTTAACAAGTACAGGTCATGTATTGGCTCCAGAATGTAGTACCTCTACCTGTGCCAGTGTTGATCAAGTCTGGCTGTGAATGAGCTCACACTCAGTGCTATCACACACACTCTGGCAGATTGTTTAAGAGTTTACCTCTCTCACTCCAAAAATTTTGCCCAGATAATTTTCTGAGCTTGTGGTTTCTTCAACCTGAAGCTGTGACCCCTTGTGGGGCGAGCGTCCTCCAACTCCAGGTAAGGACACTCGGCTGAGTAGTGCCCTTTGAGATGTTTATACACCTCAATTAGGGTCCCCCTTTGCCCATCTGTAGTATAAGCTAGGCAATTGCAAGTGTTCTAATCTCTCAGGGTAGCTGAGGTGCCGAAGTGCTGGCACCAGCCTGGTGGACCTCCTTTGGACATTTTCAATCAACTGACAGTCCCTAGCATACCTCGGGGACCAGACAGGGTGACAGTACTCAGACGGGGAAGCACCTCACTCTTGAAGATCGTTATGAGGGACAGACCGTCTAGATATCTGAACGACCTTCTAATAAGACCGAATAATTTAATGTAGTTGCTTGATTCACCTTCTCGCAATGGCCCGAGAACTTCAGTTCATTGTCAACATACACACCTAGGTCCTTTTCACAGTCAGTTTTCAATTAATGCAGTTTCTTCATCCCGTTGGGACGTATGATGCACCTCCTTATCGTTGGTACGTCCCAGGTGCATCTCTTACACTTTGTGACATTGAACCTTAGCAGCCATTTCTTCGACCATTCTTGAAGCTCGCAGAGATCCTTCTGCAGCTCCTCACAACCTGGCTCCTGGTAACTACCGGTGGAAGCTGGGTAGGCGGTGAAAGGAGGGTTGTAACAGTATTTTACCCCTATAACTTTTTGCAGTACTTTGTCCACCACTGATTAGGTGGGAGAGGTGAAAAACAACGAGGAGATGGGGAGACGAAATGACAGAAGTACTTTACTGAAAATGAGGAGTATGGACAACCAAGAGAATTTGTGAATGATGGTTGAGTGGTCTATGTCACAGTAGTTAGTGAATAAATGAGTGAAAGGCTATTTTTGCTCTTTAATTCAACAGCCCTGAAGCACAGCAAGAAAAAGTTTACCAAAACATGAGAACAGAAAAAATATCTTTAAACATTTATGATTTATATACTCCATACACATGTATGTATGTACAGTCAGTTCTGCTATAATGTGATAGTTGTGTTCTTGTAAAACCTCGCGTTGTAGAAATTCGCGCAATAGAAATAACAGGGCTTACGGAGAAAATAGGGTTAGGTGCAGATTACTCAAAATCGAAAAAATTTAGTAGTTAGCCTAACACAAAGGATAGCACAGTCTAAATAAATGTTACATTCATATCTAATAATGAAATCATACAGTAAATGTAACACTTTACCTTGAAAAAATATCAATACACTATAACTTGACGGGGTAGAAGGGTGATTTTGAGGTTGATAACATCGAGCTTCTCTTCAAGTGTTATAGCCTTTCTTTTACGATCACCACCGGGAATGCGATCACCAGAACGTTTCTTGGAGATATTCTTCTTTTCCATATTCACAGTTAATACCACAAAATTGGAGAAATAGAAAGCAAAAATCACTGAGGACGCTTCAAAACAACCCACGTGTTTCACCTGATCGTGTGATGGAAACAGAGAGCGCGGGTGTAAAACGCTATTAGCCCGTACTGTGAAACATTATTTTTATTTTATTTTTTCATACAGTATTTATGGGAACAGCTAAATTTGCAAAAAAAGATGAAGTTTATAGAGTCCCTATCAAATAACACTTCACAAACAAAACACATGAATCAATTGAACGTGAACTGTAAACATTGCATAACTCCGCGCCAAGCGACAGTACAGTACTGTACATGTACACTTAAAACGTTCGAGTGGAATCGCGTTACAGCAAACAAGCATTCAGGTTTTACAAATATTGTTCTTCTATTCATCAATCGCGTTATAGCCAATTCGCGTTGACAAAACACGCGTTATAGCAGAACTGACTGCATGTATGTTGTCACTGAAGACTCTGGGGTTAGTTATGAAGCACTGGAGTAAAGAAAAAAGTGATTTACCATGAATTTTACTATAAACATCTCATCTTGATTCTTCATTTAATTTTATATCAATGTACAGTAGCTAAAATAACTATCTGTGCATACTTTGTGGGAAACAATATAAGACCATGGACGATAAATTTTGGTATATGAGGGCTGCCACTAGTCACATGTACGATTTCATAGCATATCGACCCCCACCTGCACAGATAGTTGTTTTAGCTAGTGTACAATATAATATGAATATAAATGCCTCTCAATTAAAACTTACACAGCAACATGGTTTGTAATTGCACACACTAATCTGAAGATACCTGAAGGGCATTTGCAAAATTACAATCATATTGAAAAGTTAAACCTATACTCTAAGGTACTACAACATAGGCACATCATGCAAGAAGGCAAGCAGACTGTTGTCTTTTACTTTATAAGTTAATTATGCTTTGAAAGGGGACAGACACTGTGGGGCCCAAATGAATGACCCAGACTGTATAGGTCACACATGCCTTTTGAAGCTTGTTTCTTCATTCACCACAATATGAGCTGTATAGCCCATAGGATAACGGGCTTGGTTCATGTAATCTGTAGATCATTTATTGCCAGGAGGAGGAGGAATTATGAGAGGACCAAATGGATGACCTGGATTATTTGGGTCACATTCACACATTTCACAGCCAGTTTCCTTATCCACCACCCTTCGAATAGCACAGTCCATGGGACAAGGGGCATGACCTGTGTAGTCTGTGGGGCAGTTATCAACAAGAGAAGGAGGAGGAATTATGAGAGGACCAAATGGATGACCTGGATTATTTGGATCACATTCACACATTTCACAGCCAGTTTCCTTATCCACCACCCTTCGAATAGCACAGTCCATGGGACAAGGGGCATGACCTGTGTAGTCTGTGGGGCAGTTATCAACAAGAGAAGGAGGAGGAATTATGAGAGGACCAAATGGATGACCTGGATTATTTGGATCACATTCACACATTTCACAGCCAGTTTCCTTATCCACCACCCTTCGAATAGCACAGTCCATGGGACAAGGGGCCTGGCCAGTGTGATCCACAGGACAAATTTCACCAAGATGAGGAGAAACTTTATGGGAGTCATCTGACACACATTCACATTTATCACAACCTAAATTCTCATCCATTACCCAATGAACTGTGCAGTTTAGAGGACAGGATGCATGATCAATATGATCTTTGGGGCAGGGGTGATGTTCTCCAGCTGTAGTGTGGAAAAATGGACTGCCAGGGCTATCAGGATTACACTCACATGTTTTGCATCCTGTGACTTGATCAACAAATACATAAACAGAGCAGTTCATCGGACATAGAGGCTCCCCTTCAGTGTCATATTTGCAGTAACATTCACAAGAGGGACAACCCGTTTGAAGATCAAGAACAGTTTTGCAATTATCAGGGCAAGTTTGTGGTGGACATGAGAAGCTTTCATCACTGCACAGACAAGTGAAACACCCAGATGCAGCCTCCATAACGGTGTTACATCCACTGGCACAGGAAGGCTTGGCACATGCTGAAATGAAAAAGAAAAGAAAAAATACTACTTTTTCAACTGCTGAGTTAAAAAGGGTAAAAGAAATTAGCCCTTTCATGAGTAAGTGCAAAAATTTGTATAGCTTATATCTCAAAAAACAAAGAACAGGTTGTACCTCTCTAGTCCGGCAACCTCGGGACCTGACAAGTGCCGGACCATGGAAATTCACCCTTTTCCTGGATAGATAGTGACTTGTGCTTATGCTTGGAAGCACTAGCACCACTTTCTCTGCATCATGGTCTCTTTGAAGACATATTGGAGGGTTAAATGTCGTATAGTAGCTTCTCAAATTTCGAGAGTTTTTAATTCTTAACGTATTTTATTGGAACACAAAAAAAAATAAATAAATAAAAATTTTGAGGGCGAAAACTTGAATTTCGACAGGTTTGAACGGCCCGCCAACGTGCAGACGATGTGCATAATCGTGTAAACAGCGTCATTTCTCTTATGTACAAAAGATTCATTATTGTTTATTACTGAATGTCTTTTTTATTGAATTAATGTTTATGTGTGCAAAATGAGCAATACAATTCATTAATAATACGTAGAATATTAAAACACACGCGGAAATGACACAGCATTGTTTTCGTTGATTACAAAACCAGTGACTGACTGGTTCTACATATAAAACTGAAGAAAATAAGACCTTGGCTGTAGCTGTAGTAAATTAATATGGTTGTTTAAGTAATGTTATTTAATGTTAATAAATGGAACAATAAAAGTAGCTAACGATAATGGTAGTAAAGAAAAAAAGAGAGATCACGTATGGAAATTCGCATGCGCACACGTGAAAACATATCGTCATTACTTTACATAAGAATATGAAAGCAACACTTATTTACTGTTCATATATATTTTAATTAATGTTTCTGAATTCGTTTTTATTGAATTAATGTATGTGTGTGCAAAATTAACAATACAATTTATTAATAATACGTGGAATATTAGAGGAGACGGCTGCCGGCATTGTTTATGTTAAGCTTACGAAACCAGTGACTGATTGGTTCTACATATAAAACTGAAGAAAATAAGACCCTGATTTTAGCTGTAGTAAAATTAATGTAAAAAAATTAATATGGTTGTTTGAAGCACCTGTAATGTCATTTAATGTTAATAAATGGAACATTATAAGTAGCTAACCATTAATGGTAAAAAAAAAGTGAGACTGCGCGTATGTAAGTGCGCACATGTGAAAACATATCGTCATTACTCTACATAAGAATATGAAAGCAACACTTATACTTACTGCTCATATATATTGAAGGGCTAAATGTTGTACTCTGTATAGACAAGCAGAGAGAGAGCAGCCGAACTGCCGGATGTAAACAAACCTTAATTTCCCGCAGCTTTGTTTTTTCTTTGTTTTTTTTTAAGGGGATTAGCCCACCCGGGCATAGGTAACTGACCCACATTAGGGCCTGCGGGGCAAAAATTTAATACTCCTGTAATAATAATAATAATTCAAATAAGTAAAAAAAAAAAAAAAAAAAAAAAAAAAAAAAAAAAAAAAAAAAAAAGCTGCCTATCTACCTATTGGACAAACTAAAATCGTTACGGACCACGGGAGTTTCCGGACCACAGAATGCCGGACTAGAGAGGTACAACCTGTACCAGCACACTGAACTATCATTATTTTGGAATTCAAGCTTATTCAGTGGGTTTTGGCACTGCCAAAATTCTGAGGTAAATTTGGGCATGCAGTACAGGGGGTCCCCGGGTTATGAACGGGTTCCGTTCCTGAGGACGTTCTTCAGTTGAATTTGTACATAATTCGAAACACATGATATGTGCATATCATACTTATAGAACAATGTTTAAAATCCACTAAATCATAGCCTAAGTCCTTATATACATCTAAAATCACTTAATTTAAAAGAAAATAAGAAATAGAATGACAAAATACAGTAAATGAAAGTAAAAAATAAGTCATCAGGTAAATAAAATACCCCCGTTCGTATCGGCGGGCGCTCATAAGTCGGGACCCCCCTGTATAGTATACTGTATAAGGATATCTCTCAGACCACTGTTTCCTTATAATTCTTGTCAGTCAGTTTGTAACGCATCTGAAATAGGGGTATCCTAATCACAGTATAGTCTAAACTACTTCCTCAGGAAAAAGAGATACACAACTTACCCTGAGCATCCTGGGTTTCTTGAGCTAATGTGCAAGATCTGTACTGGACACATGTGACCTCTGGCGGTGTTATGCACTTGCAGTCTAATGTGCACTCACTTGTGTTGAGGGTTGACCCAAGTGCAATGTTAAGAACGCCTAGATAACATTCCAATGGTTCCGCTGCTGAGAAATTGAGAATAAGCTTACATGTGGTTCACTAATTAGCATGTAAAGGAGATTTTACATCTGAATTATTATGATACAGTATTTATATTTACAATACTGTACTATGGATGATATTTGAATCACTATCACCAAAATGCTATTTTTCTTATAGTATCTATTATATCTGCTGTAAGTCTGGACCTACATAAATTAAAGCAGACTGGTAAATCCTGGAAGCTTTGTAATGCAAATTCTAAAAGCACTGAAAGATAAACAAGTTGTACTGCATAACAATACAGGTCACCTACAAGAGTCTGCCACATGGAATTATTTAATAAAAAAAACAAAAACAAACAAACAAATATGAATTTCGGTCTTATTATCCTGTAAGCTTGTGCAAAGTTTGATGAAAATATTAAAGTGTAACAAAAAACTGAGAATTGACAGACAGATGGGTGGGTGTAAAACAGTCTCACAGACCTCTAGTTTCACCAGTTGGGAACCCATAAAATGCATTTAAGTAAAAAAAAAAAAAAAAAAAAAAATATATATATATATATATATATATATATATATATATATATATATATATATATATATATATATATATATATATATATATATATATATATATATATATATATATATATATATATATATATATATATATATATATATATATATATATATATATATATATATATATATATATATATATATATATATATATTTGTTCATAATTTCAAAATTCCAAAAGGACGAAATTCTGTAACCTGAGTTTTTGTAACACGGGGGATGTCTATCTGGTAGTTCCAATCTTAAACCTCCCAAGTTGAAATATCCAGAATTCTGATAACCATAATTACCTATATTTTTACAGTGATTTCTTAGTACTGTACAGTAATGTGTTTTATGAAAGACCTTCAACCTGAGATGTTAATACTGTACAATGTAATATAATTATTGAAATCTCTTTCTACAGAATAAATCTTAGATTATGGTGAACCTGTCAATAGCAGTCCAAAGCTACTAATGTGATGGATAAAATGCAACAAACTTTTACCTAAAACTGTCTCTATTTAATATCCTACACCTTGGTGAGCAATTTGAACAGCAGCTTTAGGACTCAGTTTAGAGAAAGGTGCAGGTCCCAAAGTCACTGAAAGTTTCTAGATGGTTTGCTAGTGTGGGCCATTCCCCAGGACCAGGCCAAGAGATTCATCATTACCTGTACTACAGCTTCCTGGGGGGTTTTAGAAGATGGCAGCTGCTAAACCTGAGATACTTCAGATGTTTATAATCTTTAAAAGAATAATTACAGTCTATTTTCACAATGTTAGTAATTTTTATTAATAAAACTATTTTTTTTTTTATTGCAGTGAAATGTAAAATAGTAACTGAATATTTTAGTACCAAATAATTTAGAATGAGTAACTGAAGGTGGATCACAGAAGAGTCTGAAAAACCAAACTTTGGAGCAATTGTGAATATATTGTTTACAGTCTTACCGAACAGACGAGGACCTTCACACCATCCTAGCACATGGTTAATCAGTAACCCTGGCTTGTATAAATGGAAGTTATAAGTAAATTCTTAGTTCCTTAGTCGGCAGCCTGTACAGCATTACAAGAGCTGCCTAGCTTTAGACCCAAACCAGAAACAGATACAGTAAAATTAGTGAATTAAAGAAACCTTAGACAGAATGATAATAAATAGTGAGGCAGAGACAGTTGGATCACAGTAAACCTCCAGTCTTAATGTATCTGACATTATATATGCCACAGCAATTGTTCAGTCACTTACAGGGTATTAAACTGAAGACCACTTGATGTGAGACATCACTGTGGCCATGGGCATTCTGGGCTGCTACTCCTACAACATATGTCTGCATGGGATCTAGCCCATCAAGAATGGCCTGCGTTCTCAGGTCACCGTGGATCCTTAGTCTTGTCCATTCAGTGTGGCCATTAGCATCATGATGTAGATTCACATGATACAATACCCAATAAGCTGTTAATATGGAGCTGACACTGTCATCAAGGAAGCTGATGTGACTACAAAGTGGTCTTGTATAGCACCCTTGTTAACTTATGCTGATGATATTGCAATACTATTGCAAACTGATACTGTACTATGAATATTATAGCACCACATTAAGTGATACTCATATTATGGTACAGTACCATCATTAGCTGATACTAGTTATATTAGAGCACCATTATTAATTAAAACTGATTATATCACATGACCATTGTTAACTGGTGCCCTACTGATGATACCATAATACGATTACCAATTGATGCTAATGATATTACAGTATAATTATTACTTGATAATGAATATATAATGGTAATTATTAACTGTTGCTGATAATATTACAGTGCTATTTTAATTTATTCTGATTATATTAAAGCAGTCATACTAATTGATACTAATGATTCTTGTGGTATTATTGGAATATAATATTTTTTACCCTAATAACATTATAGCATTACAATGTAAATATGGAGGGATATTGATATAAGAAAGCCTAGTTTATGACAAATGGGAAGAGGTGTGCCTCGAGAGGGAATCCAGCCACTGAACACCCTCTCTGCACCCTTCAGAGGACATATACAATACTTTATCAAATGCGGTTTTCTCAAAACATTATTTTCTTCAGCTCACCCTTGCTACACACAATGCCTCATATAATTTCAATGCTCAAAAGCGATTTAGAAATAAAGAAAATAAGAAAAATTAGGAGTGCGAAGTTAATTGTGTGGGAGGTGAGAGGTAGGGTGGCTGGCTGGACAACTCCACCCTCAACCCCATTAACACAAAAGCATGCAATTTCACCATAATTCTCACATAATTTATGTTCATTTGGAGCCAGGTTAAGAAATTATCATCATAAAATAAAAAAATTTCCAGAAAAATCCCACACCTATACAGTGATCCCTCGGTTAACGAGCGCCTAGGTTAACGAGATTTCGGTTAACGATTTACCTTCCATAAGATTCTTAACTTCGGTTAACGAGCAATCCCTCAATTAACGAGTTTTTTACGAACCGACTTCAACATGTTTTCGCTTGCATTTGGCGGTCCACCAGCTGTAGTATTAGTCCGCCAATACAGTAATCGGTTTTAGGGCTTAAATTCCTTACTATTTTAGTAAATATCAAGAAGTTTATACTATTCAATAATTTTAAAAGTTTAATATTAACTTTTTTAGTCATTTTAACAATTATTGAACATAATTGAAGGTAAAGAAACTAGTTTCTGGCGTGCCATCCAGCCTGTTAACACACCAGAGAGGCGTTAGTCTCTCTCTGTTTTCAGTGGAGGTAACATCTTGCTTGAGACTCTCTTCAACTAAACGCTTTTTTCTGTGTTTCCAAGCAAATTATTGGTCATTTTGAAATATATTTTACATATTGACAATATATAATGCAGTGCAGTGTTGATTTAAAGAAAATAATCTTGAATTACACCAAGAGAACTAAAATTTTATGGGTGAAATGGTGCCATGGGGTGACTTCTCTTCCACCCCAATGCCTTCTCTTCTCCCTTCTCCTCCACCCCCATTCTAATTCCCATCATCATCATCCAGGAGCCTTCTACATACACACTTCAAAGTAGGTGTACTTTTCTACCTTTTTTGTTGAATTTAGGCAATTTTCGGTGAGCTGGAACCAATTACCCAAAAACCCATTGAAACAATGGTTTCGGTTAACGAGCAACCTGCTGGGACGGATTGTGCTCGTTAACCGAGGGACCACTGTACCAGATGAATAATTGCTCTGTACTAAATATCTGGTGCTTATTCACAAAGCCGACCAGCTGACCATCATTGGAGGCCTCTCGCCAAGCAGTGGTGCCAATGCTCTACTTCTCACACACATCTCTGCTGCCACTGCTCATGATGGTTAGTACTTACCACAACAAATGTCTTCAACACTTAGTAATATTATTGTAAAGTATTTATCAACAGTTAATATATAATACTTTAGTGTTATTTATACATTAATCAGTTGTCTAACTGAAACAAGTACGTAGCCATATTGAACCATCACATATATCACCTAAAGGTAGCATATAAAGTTGTTAGGAATGTATCTCCATATCAACTACTATACAGTACAGCATGTTATAATAATACTGTTGTAAGCTGATTTGCCGAGATTTCAAGGGGTATTACTATACTGTACGTGTGGGAACGCATATACCCTTAGTTACAATAATTCTTATGGGGAAAAATTCCTCATTATAAAATGTTTCATTATAAGTCACTTTTCTCTGGAACAAATCCCGGATGTATAATGAGGACCCCCCTGTATTTATATCAACTGTTCTCCACGAGACAACACCAATACATTACATCTTGGCCTTTCAGAAAGTAGAAGAGGCAAAATAATGTGTTGTTGGTTCAACAAATGACCGGTAACTGATGATGCAATTATTAACTCTTAATTATATAACCAATGTGGGTTCAAAACATATAAACTAATAAATCCCAAACAAATGCAGTTGACTCAGTGAACATGAATTCTTCCTGGATCTTGGGTTAATAATACAAAGAGATTATTTCTACAAAAATATTAGGTGACTGTTTAGTTAGCTTAGGTAATGTCCACGCTATTAAAGTATATGCCTTGTCTGAAGGATGAAGAGAAGGAAGTTAGTGTACAGATTTTCTTGCAGGACATTCATGACAACCCACAGGTCATTAAAAGCAAGGGTGGTGTTACTCTGCTTGTTCTACAATTAATTTCAACTGAAACAAATATTATGTAAAATCTTATGCAATTTCCATGACTAATGAATTTTTTTCATGACACTGATGTTGTAATAAACTTACAATGGAAAAAACAACATAATATTTCATGCCACCTATATGATTCCATTTATTTTCTTATTAAAACAGTGACAAAAGTGCCATGCTCATACTCACTACTTACAGGCTCACCTGAGATGCAATACATCAACAAGCAGGGTGCAACTACATGTCTAATGCAGACACTGATGTCTAAATTTATCATCAAGCTTCTTCACACTTATCATGGACACATAGCCAAATGCAGTACACACACAAAATGGATATGTAAGATAATATCTTATTATTTTATTTTACTGGTATTTATTTATTTACAGTATTTATTTTTTATTTTAAATTTAGTAAGCTTACGATTCACACTAATTTCTATGAAGTCGCGGGATTCTGCATGTAGACTGGTTTGAGAAGAATCTTCTTATATCAACTACAGTATTTCTTAATTTAAGGTGGGATTTATTTGTCTCATATCAATGTTATTTAATTCTTTATGATGCTCCTTTACATATTACCGTTAAGTACTTTTTTCTACAATTTCTATACCAAAAAACTGTGTTAGTTTAGTAGCAGACATTACAAATTCTAATTACTAACAAACTACAGTACCATACAAATCATAAAGGTATCTGAAACTTTTTAATAAGATTTGCACAGAAAATCTGCTCCAAAATATTTCCACATTAAATAGTTTACTGCCATAATCCTTGATGTCCTCTAATGCTAGAGGTAAAAGAAATCGAACATAAAGAAACCTTGTCCAGGACACATCCAGAATATGTTTTGTGAAAGGTGTTCCCTAATTGGTGAATGGTGTAAAAACAAAATCATGTTCTGTGAATGTGTGTTAACCGAAAAACACCTGTGGTAAGCAACATTACTCAGAGACAATAAGAAGGTACACCCATGATGGAATCTTCACCACAAATGTTTTCATATATAAAGAGCTTCATTAACTTCTAGACACTCTTTGGGCATATGGAGTTTGTAACTTCTTTCACAGATTAAATTAGCCCTGACTTGGTTGATAAAATAATTTAATGTTAATCATGTTAATTTTATCTTTCTTATGCTTTAGTTGAGCCATTCATGATTTCAAGTAGGAACTGCTTGTACCTATAATTAGGTCACACAACAAATGAGCTGTGTACTTTCATGTGGGGAGCTTTCAGTTGGTACCTTATGCATGATCTCCTTCATCCTTTTACGACTGAGGGGAGGAGACAAGTGACCTACTATCTCTCCTTCCATCTTACCTTATTGGCAGAAAATGTGAGGTTCATTGTCTGATTCCAACACTGAGGGATGCAAGTCAAAGAACCCTACTGGAAATAAACATCCGATAGCTTTGTCAGTTATCCTAGGTTGAATTGCGTTACTGTTTACTATTAATGTATACAACCACAATCTAGGTACTTCAGATTTAGTGCTGAAAATGCTTGATAATGAATGTGCCTTTAAGCATGAAAAATACTCCTTGGCATCAGCAGTACGACTAAACATATACTGTATGTGTGGATCCCCAGTTATGAACCATGCTTTGGCAATGTCATATACGAGTATTTCTCAATAACATTATTTTCTCACATTTTACACATTGATACTAATTAAGTTATATCCAAGAAATATACAGCATCCTTTGGCAATCTCCGATCATAAATCTTAAATAACTAGAGATTTAATGCATATCTGTCAAATCTTCCCATACAGTATTACCAGATCACCTGCTTCATTATCATGCAGGTTATCTTGGGACAAACGCCTGCTGTTGACTGTACTGTACATAAATTGTGTACCTGCATGGTCTATATGTACACTCTATACCTGCAATGTCTATATACATGCTGAACTGTATACCTGCACTGCCTATATACATGCTGAACTGTATACCTGCACTGTCTATATACGGTACATGCTGAACCGTATACCTGCATTGTCTATATACATGCTAAACCAACTGTAAACTTGTATGACAATTTTAATGAATGTACATTATTATTATTATAATTGTAATGCAAACTTGTTCAGGGTTATTTCAATGTAGCTGTTGATTCACTGGCTTTTGAAGAACCATTGGATGGGGGTCCATGAATGTTTCGTGACTTTGGTTTGACTGAATAAGTTGCTATTTATACATCATCAGCACTGATCCTTTACTCATAAAATTTGACTTTATACCACAATCCTTTATTTCATTGCGAAGGGGTAACTTCTATCACAACCGAAATCTTCTACATGCACTTTCTGATGAGCAATATATTTATTAAATTTTATTTGATTGTAAAAAAACATACATATTTTCTCCAACATTCATGTACCCTGTAGCTCATACATACTGTACAATATTTCTTGGATGAGCAGTTATTCAATGATGGTTTCCTACAAACAAATACAGTACAGGTATCCTTCATTATCCAAATGTTCGCTATCCAAACACTGTATTCTTACACCTCTTTTTCATTGTCTGAAAGCAATCATTGCTTATCCAAGAGATGGTCCAATCGAAAATTCAAATCAACCCACCCCTCCTCACCCCTTGTGCTGAACCCTGACTGTCTTCTGATAAGGTAATGTACCAACTGTACAGTGTATTTTATTTAGTTTAGTAATTACCAGATTGTTGTTGATTGAAAATGTCCAAAGGAGGGTCACCAGACTAGTGCCTGCAATACAGCACCTCAGTTATGCAGAGATGAGAATGCCTGCAACTGCCTAGCTTATACTACAGAAGGGCAAAGGGTAACCTAATTGAAGTGTACAAACATCTCGGAGTGCAAAGCTCAGCCGAGTGTAAATACTTGGAGCTGGCAGATGCCCGCCCCACAAGGGGTCACAGCTCAAGGTTGAAGAAGTCACAAGTTCACAAAACTGTGAAGACAAATTTTTTCGGGGTGAAAATTTGTACAGTACTCCAGGAACAATCTGCCAGAGAGTGTTGTAATACAGTAAAACCTCGATTAACCGACCCTCGATTAACCGACTTTCGGATTAACCGTCAATCCCAAACTCCTAATATATATATATATTTTTTTTTCAGGGATTAGCCCACCCGGGCACAGGTCACTGACCCACATCGGGGCCTGGGGGGCAATAATGTAATAATATTAATAATGATAATGATAATGATAATGATAATAATAATAATAATAATAATAGTACAGTAGTACCCCGATTTACGCGGTCAATTGAACCCACAGGGTACCGCAGAAAGTGAAATCCACGTAAATGGAACAACAGAACATATGGGATTAATTCCAATAGAGACTGGCCCGACCCCCAAACTCCACTTTTTCCGACACAATACCTATGTTGTAGTAAAAATAACATCTAAATTTTATGATGGTATGCTCACACAATTAATATTTAAGAGAAATACAGTCGCCAGGTTAATGTCCATTCAAATAATAGACTCAAATCCCCCCCCCTCCCCTCTTCTCAGCTCACTGGCCCCTACCTCTCTGAGAAATGATTGGGTGAAACACTAGATTTTAACGTTTAGTAATAAATAATACCTCAGACTAAAGTTAGGATAATATAATTGACATTTCTGGATTCCTTGCAGGTCAGGGAATATTTTGAATGAAAACTTCATATATTTTGCACAAAAGATAAAATACTTGCTTTGTGTAAACCAAATTATTACATTGGATCTAAAATTTGTATGTCTAATGCAAAATCCATGATGTATATATTCAAAATGATCATCATATTGTAAGAATTCCAGCAATGTAAATTATATTCTGGTCCAGTAATTTGTATGAATTTTATGAGCTAAAACAAATATCTTCAGTTAATAAAAAAAAAATATTCTTCACGACACTATCTGTCAATCAAAGTACCCCAACTTGCCTCCCCCCCTCTTCCAACTGCGCCAGATGGTCGGTCGGTCCCAACCCTCCCCCCCACCCCCACCTTCCCTCCCTACCAGAGAAATGTTGGGTGAAAAAACTAATTTTAACTTTTAGTAACAAATAATACCTCAGACTAAAGTTAGGATAATATAATTGACATTGCTGGATTCCTTGTAAGACCAGGAACATTTTGAATATAATTGTCATATATTTTGCACAAAAGATAACATATTTACTCAGAGTAAACATTAGATCTAAAATTTGTGTCTAATGCAAAATCTATGATGTTTATATTCAAAATGATCATCAAATTGTAAGAATTCCAGCAATGTAAATTATATTCTGGCCGGGTAATTTGTATGAATTTTATGAGCTAAATAAAAAAAATATTATACTTCACGCGTATATGGGTAGATGAACCGCGTAAAGTGAAAGTTCGGTTCTGGCGAGGCACCGCGTATATGAGAAATCGCGTAAAGTGAAACCTCGTAAAGCGGGGTAATACTGTAATAAAGAACCATAAATAAATGCAAAAATGAAAAAAAATCAAGAGTGAGAAACAATATATGTATGTTGTGTTGTCAATAGTAAGAGAAGCAATCGAGACCCTGCAATTGTGTGTAAATGAGGTAGAAAGTCAGATCAGCAACCTGGGACTTGGTCACAATTTTTGTGATGACATATGTTCTTTGACTTTTCCATTTTTTATTCACGGTTTCTGTGCTGGTTCATATTTATTTACTAAAGTGGTTAATGTTTTAAGGCAAATTCTATTGAAGTATGAATGGCAAATGAACAAAAATGAATAGAGGGAATTAAATGAGGTAGGTTAGGGAAAGGTACTTTGAAAATGTATGCTTTATTTCCGTAGACTTTATGTACTATTAACCGACCTTTCGGATTATCCGTCGGCCCCTTCCTCCCATATGTGGTTGGTTAATCAAGGTTTTACTGTACCACCAAGTGTGAACTCTTTCAAGACCAGACTTGACCGACACTGGAGCAGGTTCAGATACATTCAGGAGCCAGTGCACGACCAGTACTTGCCAACAGTGTGTGACAGAGATGTGACTGACTGCCCAAGCTGCTAACGAGCCTATCAGTAACAAAATGCATAAAAGTAAAAGTAGTTAGGTACATATTACAGTAGTTAGGTGCTAAAGTACAGTACTAAATTACAGTAGTTAGGTAGGTTTCTGGTGTCCCCGGGTTACGAACAGGTTCCATTCCTGAGGATGTTCATAAATCGGATTTGTACGTAAGTCAGAACATATGCTATGTGCATACCGTACTTACAAAACAATGTTTAAAATCCCACTATATCATAGCCTAAGTCCTTATATACATCTAAAGTCAATTAAATTAAGACAAAAGAAGAAATAGAATGACAAAATACAGTAGATGAAATAAGTCAACAGATATATAAAATACTGTACTATAAATTTCAAGTTTAACCCCGTTCATATCAGTGGGCGTTCATAAGTCGGGGACCTCCTGTAATATTGGGGTTGTTTTGTTGTTGGGAACCAAACCCTATTTTTCCCCTTTGTTCTATTATTCACTATCTGAATGGTTTTCAAGGAACCTAACCCATTCAGATAATGAGGGATACACGTACATTATGCACTACTGTATATTTATCAATACACCCCCCTGTATTCAATTCTGCTATTGGCATTCCCATATGAACTAGAAATTTTTACAAAACTTCATGACAAAAATACTATTTCTACTAACATTTAAATTTGCAATTTGCATTCAAAATAAAAAAAAATATATTTAATAGGGTATTTTTTCTTGCAAAAACAAAACAAAACAAAACATTTTATCTACTAACATTCAAGCCTGCTATCTGTGTTCCATGATCAGGCAGGTCATGCAAAGCCTACCAACAATGTGGCCATGTGGGCACTCAGGAGCTGACCATTCCACCTGCAAGGTCATCCTGTTTGGGAACTGGTGATCCAACACGCCTGTCACCTTCACACAGTGTGGAGGTGTGGGTACCTTCGGGGTCTCTCCACCCACAATGCACTCTAATTGAATAGTGAATTAGTATAACAAAATGAAACAGAAAAAACAGACATTAATCTGTAATGCTGAAGATGAGTTACATATACTGTACAACAGATTATGAGTATTGTGGTATGAGACTACAGTATATCCAGGGCTAACTTTTTTTGGAGTGAGAGTTGTGAAGTTTTGGAACAATCTGCCAGAGAGTGTTGTGATGGTGTGATGGCACTGAGTGTGAGCTCATTCAAGACCAGACTTGATCAACACTGGTGCAGGTATTGATACTGATACATTCTAGAGCCAGTACATGCCCAGTCCTTGCCAAAAATGTAACGGAGACATTACCAACTGCCCAAGGATCTTACAAGCCGATTAGTGGCAAAGAGGATAAAATAATACATTTAAATAACTTTTGTCAAAGTTAATTTTAAACTGGAAATAAGATACAGTATTAATAAATAAAATACTATATCCCCATGTTATAATATCTGGAGTTTTGTGAGTGTTGACCAGTATTAATCATTATACTGTACAGTAATGTACTACACGTTGTACCTCTCTAGTCCGGCAACCTCGGGACCTGACCGGTGCCGGACTATGGAAATTGCCGGACCATGGAAATTCACCCTTTTCCTGGATAGATAGTGACTTGTGCTTATGCTTGGAAGCACTAGCACCACTTTCTCTGTATCATGGTCTCTTTGAAGACATATTGAAGGGTTAAATGTCGTATAGTAGCTTCTCAAATTTCGCGAGTTTTTAATTCTTAACTTATTTTATTGGAACACACAAAAAAATAAATAAATACAAATTTTGACGGCGGAAACTTGAATTTCGACGGGTTTGAACGGCCCGCCAACGAGCAGACGATGTGCATTATCGTGTAAACAGCGTTACTTCTCTTATGTACAAAAGATTCATTATTGTTTATTACCGAATGTCTTTTTTATTGAATTAATGTTTGTGTGCAAAATGAGCAATACAATTCATTAATAATACGTAGAATATTATAACACACGAGGAAATGACACAGCATTGTTTTCGTTGATTACAAAACCAGTGACTGACTGGTTCTACATATAAAACTGAAGAAAATAAGACCTTGGCTGTAGCTGTAGTAAAATTAATATGGTTGTTTTAAGTAATCTTATTTAATGTTAATAAATGGAACAATAGAAGTAGCTAATGATAATGGTAAAGAAAAAAGAGAGATAGCGTAAGTAAGTGCACATGCGCACACGTGAAAACATATCGTCATTATTTTACATAAGAATATGAAAGCAACACTTATTTACTGTTCATATATATTTTAATTAATGTTTCTGAATTTGTTTTCATTGAATTAATGTTTGTGTGTGCAAAATTAACAATACAATTTATTAATAATACGTGGAATATTAGAGACGAGACGGCTGCCGGCATTGTTTATGTTAAAGCTTACAAAACCAGTGACTGATTGGTTCTACATATAAAACTGAAGAAAATAAGATCCTGATTTTAGCTGTAGTAAAATTAATGTAAAAAAATTAATATGGTTGTTTGAAGTACCTGTAATGTTATTTAATGTTAATAAATGGAACAATATAAGTAGCTAACCATTAATGGTAAAAAAAAGTGAGACTGCGCGTATGTAAGTGCGCACATGTGAAAACATATCGTCATTACTCTACATAAGAATATGAAAGCAACACTTATTTACTGCTCATATATATTGAAGGGTTAAATGTTGTACTCTGTATAGACAAGCACAGAGAGAGAGAGAGAGAGAGAGAGAGAGAGAGAGAGAGAGAGAGAGAGAGAGAGAGAGAGAGAGAGAGCAGCCGAACTGCCGGATGTAAACAAACCTTAATTTCCCGGCTTTGTTTTGTTGTTTTTTTACGGGGATTAGCCCACCCGGGCATAGGTCACTGACCCACATTGGGGCCTGAGGGGCAAAAATTTAATACTCCTGTAATAATAATAATAATTCAAGATTAAAAAAAAAAAAAAAAGCTGCCTATCTACCTATTGGACAAACTAAAATCGTTCCGGACCACGGGAGTTTCCGGACCACAGAATGCCGGACTAGAGAGGTACAACCTGTACAATAATTTATATCATATTTACAACTCAAAATTATATTCTCAGCAAAATTTATTTTTCCTTTCATTTTCAATAATTATCAGCTTCATGTTCAATTGGGCAGTTGGTGTGTTCTTTATTATGACCTTCATTTTCCAGTACATGAGGAAATCTACTCAGAGGAAACCTGCTAGGTTTGGTAGAGTCACCCTTCTCACATCTGACCCAGGATATGAACCCAGGACACAGTAGTAAAAGCCAAGTCCAATTTCACTATAAATTATATTTTGCCGTAAGTGAGACAATATGTCATATGAATTAATAATATCAACAGAAGTTTAAATAAAATAACTAACTCATTTCATGTTAAATCATCCTTAACGTTCATAAACCACAAGGTGCTAAAAAATTATAGTTACAGGTATGGGATCATTTATCCGGGTGCTTGGGACATGGGGGTTACTGGATATTGTGTGATAAAAAGTTCCACACATGACTAAACAACTTAATAAATCTTAACAATAGAGGCTTACCTCTCCCTCACCCCTCCTACAAAAACTACTTTTTTTCTACAGACAGTAAAATTAAAACTTCAAAATGTAGGCATACTACAGCAAAAATAAAAGCATATGAATAGCAATAATAAAAGCATAAAAAAAATATGATACAGTACAACTTAGTGTACAAACTGGATCATAGACTCCATTGACACTTACCTTAGCAATGCAGCAGTGTACCTAGCAACGGTGCCTCGTCCGCAGACCCTTTGACTTCCACAAGCTCGCTACACAGCTTCATGGTGGAAACCCGTAGATACTTAAACCTTTACATCTTATGATAAATATTTATTTTATTTATTTTTGCACTTTCTGTATGTAGAATTGTGCAGGCATGTAAGTGGGTGAAAAGATAGAGAAAATTAGATGTATCTATTCAAAATTACGAGTTGAAAAATACTCTATACCTTTAAGATTTTTTCTTGCTCTCTGTACGAAATTGTGTCTATGTAACTCAATATCCCTGTATAGCTCACACACGAGGAATGGTTGTAAATTTTTTGCTTGGCCCTGGAAGTACTTGGTACTCATTTAAAACAAATATATTTCCATAACAGCTGCGTTTTGAAATGTTCCGGTTCCATGCCTGTACAGCATGCCCTGACAATTCACGGATTTTTAATTCATGGTCCTCAATTATTTGCATATGACACCCTGGATATGTCCAAGAATATCTGCGGGTAGTTTTAAAGTTGCCGTCATTTTTGTGGCTGGGACAGGGAGCACACGAGTTTTGTGGCGTCCCGCAAAGTGTCTCTCTTGTCCAGGGAGAGTGGCCCACGCGTGCCCCTGCTCCCTCCGCCTCAGTCCGGAATAACATTTGGCCATCTCGCGTGTGTGCTACTCTGCTCTCATAACAACTGTGCTCCTCGTGCTTGTGATGGCTCCCAAACGCCCTCAACCACCACCATCCAGCTGCTGGACAAACTTAGGAGTGGCCAAATCTTTTCCACGTGTGGCTGGGAGTATGGCGTCAACGACTCAACTGTCATCTGCATTAAGAAGAAAGAGAGGGAGATTTGTAATGCAGTTGCCCTAAGTGCTCCCTCTTCTGCCAAGGTAGCTGCTAATGTGAGGGATACAGCTATGGTGAAGATGGAGAAAGCCCTTAACATCTGGATTGAGGACTTTAAACACAGCCACATCCCTCTCAGCCAGAAGTTTATCCGTGACAAGGCCAAGGTCTTATATGACTGATTCCATGCTGAGGAAGGTGGTGAAGGGGAAGTGAGTGGTGAAGATGGTGCTAGTGCTGGTGGTTCTGGTGATACCCCAGAGAATGGTTTTAATGCCAGTAAGGGGTGGTTTGAGAACTACAACCTGCACAACTTGTGGATCACTGGTGAGTCAGCCTCGGCGGATGATGTAGCAGGAGAAGCGCTACAAGCTGGAGCAGGTTTTTAATGCTGACGGTAGTGGCTTGTGGTGGAAAGAAGATGCCAGCCAGGACGTTCATTTCCGAGGAAGAAAGGAGTGCACCGGGCTTCAAGGTGGCCAAAGATCGTGCCTCTCTCCTGCTATGTGGCAATGCTGCAGGACACATAATCAAGCCCATGCTGCTGTACCATGCCAAGTGTCCACTTGTACTCAAGAACAAAGACATGAACCTCCTCCCAGTTTTCTACCGCCACAATAAGAAAGCCTGAATGACAGCAGTGTTATTTACCGACTGGTTTCACAATTGCTTTGTGAGGGAAGTCAAGGATTACCTGCAGGAGAAAGGCTTGAGTTTAAGGCCCTCAAGGTTGCAAACAAAAATGTTGGGGTGATCTTTCTGTCCAAGAGCACATCATCATTGCTCCAACCACCCGACCAGGGAGTTCTCGCTGTCTTCAAGGCCAAGTAAATGACCCACACCTTCAGCAGGATATGGCAGGCCTTGAACTTGGATGTTTGCTCCCCTCTGTAGTAAGTCAGATCTTTAACATTTTGGAATAGAAATTGTCTCTCAGAGTTTCTACAAGAAGAGTAACAGAATTATTAAGGTCATTTGGCATGATTTCATTTCTCCAGTTGATTTTCAAGTAGTGATACTGATTTTCAAAAGGGATATAGATCACTATCCTCTAACTACCATTCAATTAGTTTAACATCAATTGTAAGCAGAATTGCCGAAACAATAATTTCAAACTCTATTCCAAATCACCTCGAGAAGCGCAAGTTAATCAATGATTCCCAATATGCTTTCACAAGTGGGCGTTCATATCTGACAAATCTATTACAGGTTGTACCTCTCTAGTCCGGCAACCTCGGGACCTGACCGGTGCTGGACCATGGAAATTTCCGGACCATGGAAATTCACCCTTTTCCTGGATAGATAGTGACTTGTGCTTACACTTGGAAGCACTAGCACCACTTTCTCTGCTTCATGGTCTCTTTGAAGACATATTGAAGGGTTAAATGTCGTACAGTAGCTTCTCAAATTTCGCGAGTTTTTAATTCGACGTTTCTTATTTGAACAAAAAACAAAACAATTTAAAATTTTGACGGCGGAAACTCGAATTTCGACGTGTTTGAACGGCCCACCAACGTTCAGATGACGTGCACAATCATGTAAGCAGCGTTATTTCTCTTATGTACAAAAGATTCATTATTGTTTATTACTGAATGCCTTTTTGATTGAATTAATGTTTATGTGTGCAAAATGAGCAATACAATTCATTAATAATACGTAGAATATTAAAACACACGAGGAAGTGAGACAGCATTGTTTTTGTTGATTACAAAACCAGTGACTGACTGGTTCTACATATAAAACTGAAGAAAATAAGACCTTGGTTGTAGCTGTAGTAAAATTAATATGGTTGTTTTAAGTAATGTTATTTAATGTTAATAAATGGAACAATAGAAGTAGCTAACGATAATGGTAAAGAAAAAAGAGAGATCGCGTATGTAAGTGCGCACATGTGAAAACATATCGTCATTACTCTACATAAGAATAAGAAAGCAACACTTATTTACCGTTCATATATATTTTAATTAATGATTCTGAATTTTTTTTATTGAATTAATGTTTGTGTGTGCAAAATGAACAATATAATTCATTAATAATACGTGGAATATTAACACGAGGAGATGAGACGGCTACCGGCATTGTTTTCGTTAATGCTTACAAAACCAGTGACTGATTGGTTCTACATATAAAACTGAAGAAAATAAGACCCTGATTGTAGCTGTTGTAAAATTAATGCAAAAAAATTAATATGATTGTTTGAAGTAATGTTATTTAATGTTAATAAATGGAACAATATAAGTAGCTAACCATTAATGGTAAAGAAAAAAAGTGAGACAGCGCGTATGTAAGTGCGCACATGTGAAAACATATCGTCATTACTCTACATAAGAATATGAAAGCAACACTTATACTTACTGCTCATATATATTGAAGGGTTAAATGTTGTACTCTGTATAGACAAGCAGAGAGAGAGAGAGAGAGCGCAGCCGAACTGCCGGATGTAAACAAACCTTAATTTCCCACGGCTTTGTTGTTGTTTTTTACGGGGATTAGCCCACCAGGGCATAGGTCACTGACCCACATTGGGGCCTGAGGGGCAAAAATTTAATACTCCTGTAATAATAATGATAATAATAATTCAGATAAGTAAAAAAAAAGCTGCCTACCTACCTATTGGACAAACTAAAATCGTTCCGAACCATGGGAGTTTCCGGACCACAGAATGCCGGACTAGAGAGGTACAACCTGTAACATTCTTTTCAACTGTTTTCAAATCAGTGGATGACAGACATGATTATGATTGGGCCGAATGTGGTGGGAAGTGTACCCTTCTTGTTTTCCTATTTACTCTGATAACTAGTTTTCTTTACTTAACCAAGAGTAGCACATATAGAACTCCTATCTTTGATTATCTTTGAATAGCATTCAACAATTTCCAATTTCTCTCTTATATTTTTAGTACTTCACATATAATTTGCATCATAAAAAAATAATAAAAGGGAGCTAATCATAAGAATCACTTAACTTTTAATATGGTAGACAACTTTGTGTATTGTACAGTGATGGGTAAGAGTGAGTCTCGACTCCCAGACCTTTGTGTTATCTGTTTTTTAAAATGTACGCATGTAATCAGAATCAGTGATTTATCATAGCCTATTTATTAAAAAATTGGCAAGAGGAGACTGAATCCTGCTTTACAACTTGGTATCGGTATCAAATTTTCATTACTATTAGTTTTTTTAGATTATAAAAGCCAATAATCATCCCACTTCTTTACATTTCAAGTCACTTGTAGTAGAGATGTGTTAAATGGTGTTATCAAGTGGATTTTGTGTGATTATACTACAAATATCAAATTACGTATATTGAAAGACCTGTTAGTACCTATCCCAATGGCGTGCTATTCAATTTCTTCTTTTCTTTTAAATTAAGTGATTCAAGATGTATAAGATGTATAAAAGGACTTAGGTATGTGTTCCGACTTACGTACATTTCCAACTTAAGAACATTCTCAGGAATGGAACTCGTTCGTAACCCGAGGACCCCCAGTATTGTACTTGAACGCATGCCAGAGTTGGTCAAGTCTAGGCTTAAAAGAGCTCACACTTGATGCTGTCATAACATTCTCTGGCAGGTTATTTTATGAGTTCACAACTCTTCATGTAAAGAAGTTAGCTCTGACAGTTTTCTGTATTAATAGGTTGCGCCCTCGAGTGTGGTGACCGTCTGTTAACTCCAAATCCGTAAATTTGGTACATTGACTCAAGCTTGCAAGCTGTCTTGGCTGCTAAGCCCTGTGAGTTTGGGGAGTGGAAACTAAATTTTAGTGAACAGACCCAAAGAAAAACAAGGTCTCATATCTGTTTACCATGTTAATGCAAATTACAGCTCTAGAAACTATATACATGTTTTCAGTACAAGTCTTTACAAAGGTATTAAAATTTTGGCAACCCTGTATAACCAAACACATCACTTTATTTTATAGTTAATTTTTTTCTCAACTAATATCACATTGAATCATCTTTTTCACTTCATGAATGTGTTATGGCTGAGTCTCATACCTCAACACTGTGCTAATATTAACTAGCTGAATACTGAGATAATTCTATAACATATGATGTTCAATGGCAATTGATAGAAATTCAAAACACTAGTACATACAGTTCTCATTGAGTAGCTTTACAGAATCAACACTTACATAGCAAACTACAGTAGTTAAACCAGGGTAGCGCACCTGACTCGGAGGGTTTAGGTGTTTTGCTGCACAATTGATGACACTCCTCAAAGTCTAAGAAGTTATTATTGTTGCCATCACATCCTCCATATGAGAACTGCCTACACTGTGATGCCTCCGCATCATAATAAATACGGGTCGTGTCTTCTGCACATGGACCAGAATCCTTGGGCAACGTGCAAACATTCACAATACCAGCTTGTGCATAATGATAAGAAAAGACTGGGTTAGGAAAGAATAAATTAGTTTAAAGCAAAAGTTTTAATTTATCCCTCACAACACGGCTGAGTTAACATAAGCTTGAAAATATATCAATAATAATAATGATACATATCAAACAGAGTTATTGAGCCATGCAATAAGAAAAGGGTGAATGAAGGATGAGTACAGTATTCATTAAATCCTTAAGAAATTAATATCTTTACTTTACCCTTTCACCACTCACCAGTATCAGTTTACTAGCCATTCAGGTGGTTGGTCTGTTGTGTGCTCCTTTGATGACCTTCATTGTCCAGTGTTAGTACAAAAGAAAACCAGGATTTCCAGAAAAAACCTACAATGTTTGGTAGGGTCACACTGGATAACACCATTCTCATGTGTGTCCCAGATTGAGACTGAAACCAGGACACACTAGTGAGAGGTACCAATACTGTATATTACCAACTCACAAGATAATAAAGGGGAAGTAGGTATTTATGGCATTTGGAAACAGATATTGTAGAGTATTATTACCGTATATACTCGTGTGTAGTTCGAGTTTTTAAGACCAAATTTTTAGGCCAAAAAATTGGGGGTCGACCTCTACATGTGTAATAGTTTTGTTAGGTTGAATCCGTGCATGATGGGAAGGGCGAGGAGCAACTTTTAGCTTTAAACATGAAAAATATTTACCATATACTGCCAGTAAACAATGGAAATGTAAAATATGTACCAATTAGTAATGAAAAGTTGTGCAGTTCCTTCAGCAGATGAAGCTCACCAACTTACAATAGGCTAAATTACCTTACAACGTGCTTTCAGTAGTCTATGTTGAAGTTCTTAGCACAGGCTAACTTATCATATCATATACGGTATCACAGTTCTCATTGATCTACAAAAAATACCAGTAACAAAAACCTTTTCGATATTTCACACTTAATATAACACCCGATAATCCACTCAACCTCCTATTGTTTACAACGATGCATGACGCACCACCAGCTGTTGCGTTATCAGCGAGACGGTACACGTGTTTTTTGAATCGTTTTCAGTTAAAAAGCTGTTACATCACATGTATATTTTACCTTAACTGTGCCTGAATGAATATATTCTCGGAAATAAATAGTAGTTTTGCTGAAACGTGATGTATTTTAACGTAAAGTAGGATAAAATACATGACGAAAACAAAAGATTTTACCTAACCTTCCGATGTTCAAAAAAAGTTACTCGTTTTTTTAATAGTTTTCGGTTAAAATACTGTTATATTACAATGATATTCTATTCATACTGTGCTTGATATAATGCATTCACGGAAATGTAATATTTTTGCTGAAATGACGCACGTATTACAGTGGAAACTGGGATAAAATCGTGACGAAAACAATTACTTTCGCTTTCTTTCGTTCAAAAGATGTTACCGTAAAAACTGTTGTATTACAATAATAGTCTATCCTAATTGACTTGAATAAATACTACGATACCATATTTCTGAATATTTCCATTAAAATCCATCAAAATCATTTTCCTTGTCATCAGCAACAAACAGCTACTCTGTCCTCTCCTTGAACAGGGCTAGAGGGTACGTGTTTTTCGAATCGTTTTCAGTTAAAAACTGTTACATCACATGTATATTTTACCTAAACTGTGCCTGAATGAATATATTCTCGGAAATAAATAGTAGTTTTGCTGAAACGTGATGTATTTCAATGTAAAATAGGATAAAATACATGACGAAAACAAAAGACTTTACCTAAGCTTCCAATGTTCTTGAGATGTTACTCGTTTTTTTAATAGTTTTCGGTTAAAATATTGTTATATTACAATGCTATTCTATTCATACGGTGCTTGATATAATGCATTCACGGAAATGTAATATTTTTGCTGAAATGACGTACGTATTACAGCGCAAAGTGGGATAAAATCGTGACGAAAACAATGACTTTCACTTTCTTTCGTTCAAAAGATGTTAACGTAATCGCTTTTCGAATGGTTTTCAGTTAAAAAACTGTTGTATTACAATAATATTCCCTCCTAATTGACTTGAATAAATATTTGAATGGAGATATACAATATTTTTTTTCAAACTACCCGCGTTTCAGTGTAAAGTGTAATAATAATAAATGGTAAACAATTTGCCTTCGGCACTCGGTGTTTCAGGCACGGCGAGCCTCAGTTTATAGGACGTAGAGTGTTTTTACTGAAGGTTTTGTTGTTCCATTACCCTCAAAAACTTGGGTCGACTTATAAACAAAGAATATCATAAATTAACAATTTCTTGGTCAAAAAATCAGGGTCGACCTATAAACGAGGGGGGATTATAGACGAGTATATACGGTATGTTACTTTCCTCAATGTTTACACCATAGGTTCATAACCACTACCTGATAAAGGTAGAAAGACACATTTCTCTATCACTGCCATGTAAAGGTAAAAGACAAACCTCTTCACCAGTCTCAATACAGTTAACAAATATCTGTACTGGTATCCCTCATTTAGCAATCGGGATTTATTCCTGATAAACCGACCATTGAGTGAAAGGATTGCTAATTGAGGGAAATAAAATATTATATCCTAAATGATGGATAATGAGGAATAATATCCATGGAGATGGCATGTAATTGTGTAGCCCAGTCTTGGACTCACAACTCAGTAGCACTCAAGGCAGGTGAGGCGGAGCTGTGAGTTATGTTATTGTTCAACTTGTAATTTCGGGTAGAGATATTTAATTTTCTTCATTTTCTTTAATTCTGTTACATTCTCACACAAATGTTCTAACAGAATGTGAAAAAAAAATCATCACTTTTATTGTTCCTCGCATTTACTCGCTACCATGCCGTAACACAGAAGCAGATGTGTCATACAATAAGGCCTTACAATGATGGCCACTCAGTGAGGCCTACAATGATGGCCACTTAGGCATGCTGCACAAAACACAGCATCTTGCAGACACATCTTCTGTACATATATGGGTCATTAATAATAAAAGAACATAAAGGAAAACCCTGTAATAAACACAATAATGGTAAATAAAACATGATAAAATAATTGTAATATTGTAACAAAAACACCAAAACAACACAAAAATAAACAGTGACAACAATTAAGATATAAAGTTCTGTAATCACTAATATAAAAATAATTATAAACTACACAACTATTTGTGAAAAGAAGCAAAGTTAAAGTGATGATGATGATGATTATTCTTATTTTTGATATGGTGATGCAATGATAATGATTACTGTTTTATTATAATTATGATGACCATAAATGTGAGTCCTAATTTTACTAACAAAAGAACTTCAAATAACCAAAATTAAAAAAAAAAACTTACTGTACTTTAAAATAAAATCTCATTGTTTGCAGCACGAATCGCTCAACATGACACAACACTGAAAAAAATCCAGAGCTAAAACTCATTTTAAATAAATTTTCAACCTAAGTCCTCACCTTCCTGGTCATGTTCACTGCCTGGGTCCTGCTCTTTGGGTTGAGGTGGCAGAATGCGGTTGTCATCAGCTATGGAAGAAATATAAACAGTGGAAAATAAAAGAATAAAAAGAAAATGGCAGAAAGAGGTAGTGCACAAAAAGATTATCAACACAAAATAGGAACACACTGTATCTACTTAAAACAGAAGTGATTGATTTTTGATAGATAATTTTACAACTATCAGGTACAACATAAAAAACTTATTAACAGTACTTACGGCAAAGCCAGTCAATTGAGCAACATCTTTCTTCAAAATAGATGGGAACGCAGCCTTGAGAATATTCATAGGCATTCCTGAATAACAAGAAAATGGCAGTTATCATTTACCAGGCTGACTTCATTAGCTTTCAATAATATAAAATAAGAAGTTGGAAACATAAATAAGATAAACTGACAAAAGGTTGTTGTACTAAATACTTATTACTGTATCTATGGGTTAACTTAATGATCATTGATGCTACAGATGACAATAGAAATAATTACATTAATACCTACAGTGATACCCCAATTTACGCGGTCAATTGAACCCACAGGGTACCGCGGAAAGTGAAAACCACGTAAATGGAATAACAGAACATATGGGATTAATTCCAATAGAGACTGGCCCGACCCCCAAACTCCACTTTTTTCGACACTACCTATAATGTAGTAAAAATAACATCTTAATTTTATGATGGTAAGCACACACAATTAATATTTAAGAGAAATACAGTCGCCAGGTTAATGTCCATTCAAATAATGGACTCGACTCCCCCCCCTCCCTACGGCTCGCTGGATCGTCCATCTCTGAGAAATGTTTGGGTGAAAACACTAGATTTTAAGGTATAGTAATAAATAATACTTCAGACTAAAGTTAGGATAATATAATTGACATTTCTGGATTCCTTGCAGGCCAGGGAATATTTTGAATGTAAACTTCATATATTTTGCACAAAAGATAAAATATTTGCTTTGTGTAAACCAAATTATTACATTAGATCTAAAATTTGTATGTCTAATGCAAAATCCATGATGTTTATATTCAAAATGATCATCATATTGTAAGAATTCCAGCAATGTAAATTATATTCTGGCCAGGCAATTTGTATGAATTTTATGAGCTAAAACAAATATCTTCACTAAATAAAGAAAATATACTTCACCCAGACACTATCTGTCAATCAAAATACCCCACCTCCGCCTCCCCCCTCTTCCCACGCTGGGTCCCTCCCTCCCTCCCTACCCCCCACCCCCCATCTTCCCTCCCTACCAGAGAAATGTTTGGGAGAAAACAGTATATTTACATTTTTAGTAATAAATAATACCTCAGACTAAAGTTAGGACAATATAATTGATATTTCTGGATTCCATGCAGGTCAGGGAATATTTTGAATGTAAACTTCATATATTTTGCACAAAAGATAATATATTTGCTTTGTGTATACCAAATTATTACATTAGATCTAAAATTTGTATGTCTAATGCAAAATCCATGATGTTTATATTCAAAATGATCATCATATTGTAAGAATTCCAGCAATGTAAATTATATTCTGGCCGGGTAATTTGTATGAATTTTATGAGCTAAATAAAAAAATTATACTTCACCCGCGTATATGAGTAGATGCACCGCGTAAATTGGGCATTCCAGTTCTGGCGAGGTACCGTGTAAATGTAGAATCGCGTAAAGCGAAACCGGTAAATCGGGGTATTACTGTATAATATTATGGGCTGTTGAATCTTACACAGTAATTAAAAAATATCAATGAAAATAATTAGAAGGTAACTGAGGTTGTTGCATAATGGTGATCAAAGAGTCACACAATGCGTACCAGTGGTTAATATAGTATTCCTAACTGTAAAATTAGGAACCAATTTACAAATGAGTGAAATGTAATTGCCCCAAGGCATCAACCAGGGACCCCTAGAAGAGAAGGAATGGCTGTATCAACTTAGGGGTGCAGCAAAGTACACTCTACAGTGAACCCTCACTTTACGCGGTCAATTGAACCCACGGCGGCCCGCGTAAAGTGAGAAACGCGTAAAGTGAACAACATAACATATGGGATTAATTGAAATAGAGACCGGGCCGACCCCCAAACTCCACTTTTTCAGACACAATACTGTACCTACGTTGTAGTAAAAATAACTTCTTAATTTTATGATGGTATGCACACACAATTAATAATTAAGAGAAATATCAATAATATTAGGTTTTTTAACACTTATATTAGTAGAAAAGATGACTGGGCACACGGGGATGGTGGGTTGGTTCCGGGGCAGAGGGCGGATTATTGGCCCTCACCTGTATCACTAGTATCAATTGTATCACTATCCACCACAGAGGCTTGCAGGGCCTCTTTGTCAAACCCCTCAAAGTCCATATAAGTCCATATCCTCACTATCATTATCACTATCACTGACTTGGGCCGGCTGTGGTGGGTGGCGGGTGAAGAACTCGGTAATGTTTTGATGACTGGGCGACCTTGTGCGCACCCTGCTCGCGCCGCTCTCCGCGTAAAAGGGTACACACACCGCGGAAAGTGAACATTCCATGTTCAGCAGGGTACCGCGTAAACGTGGAAATGCGTAAAGTGGGACCGCGTAAAGCGAGGGTTGACTATATATGACTGATAGGAAACATATAGTATCAAGTGGCTTATAGTAAAGTTATCGTAGTAAGAGGAAATGGATGACAGCAAATACAATCGACGCGTGCTCTTTTTTCTGGATAAATCTTTTTATATTTACAATGCTGTAAATTTTTATAAAAAACAATACCTTTTGTAAAATATTAATTACATTAACCAATGTATAACCTTAAAAATAAATACGTCATCTATTTACAGTTCTTATAATATCCGAGCAGGATAGGACTCGTAGCAACGGATTTAAGTTGGATAAGTTTAGGAGGGAGATAGGAAGGAACTGGTTCACAAATAGGGTGGTGGACGAGTGGAACAAGCTTAGCAACTTTGTAGTAAGTGCTGGAATGCTGGAAAGTTTTAAAAGGAGGCTAGATAGATTCATGGATGATAGAGAGTGGTAGTAACTCTCGACATGAGCTGCCATGCACAGGCCAACCGGCCTATTGCAGACTCCTTATTTTCTTATGTTATTATATGCAAGAGAATAATATTTTTTTATGATAGAGAAAACAATAGCATCAAACCAACCCGAATTCCAGCCCACAAGTTATTCTGGAACACCCAAGCCCATGTGGGTCTGTAAAGTCTGGGCTACACACACACTCCTGGCAGGGAAGATCATCGAAGAACATTTGATCACCTTCAAGATAGGTTTTGTTGTTCCAGATGCAGGTGAGAGAACGAGAGTCCAGCTGAGGTGGTGTGTCAGGATCAACTGTGGATATCATGTAAGATCACTCAGAGCAATGTTATCCATCTTGAAAATCTTTTAAACTATAACAATAACATGTATTACTACTCAATAACCATGAGTCAACAACAAAACAATAAAGAATTCAGCCTAAAACCCCATTTCTTAACTAATAGAAAGGAATCCCTTCCTAACAGAACATGCTAATGCCAGATACCTTGACATGTGTAGAGGCAGGATACAATATTAAGAAGGGCAGAGTCTCATAGGATATATAAGATCATATACCATATTTGCCAGCATATAAGATGCACCACCGCATAAGACGCACCCCTATTTTACAAGGATATTTTGTGGAAATTTTATTTGGGTACGTTTTGTCATACAATTATTGAAAGTAATTTTAAAGTTTTTTGCATGTAAATACAATATATACCAGTATCAAGTGGAAAATCATATATAGCAACATTATACTAACCCAACTCTACCTCTGATCAGAGCAGCTGTGTAGATTGTTTATATTTTGGTCAAGAGAATTACCAACAGGATGTGAAACTCGTATTTTTGGCTGTGATGTTTTGTGTTGCCGCGATCTGCCACCAGGGTGTAGCACCATCGCCATTGTTTTGGCGCCATCAACTCGTTGCAAATGGCTGACTGGAGGCTGAACTTTCTGTTAACATTACTTTAATCTTTCTAAGGACATTTTTAATTTCGATAATACACATATGTTTTTAGAGGTAATACAGTCTTTAAATAATGTAAGACATGTATCTGGTGAGGGTTACGTCTGCTAAGGAAGGAGATACATTGAAATGTTGTGAGCTTCCCTCTGCCGTTAAGCCAATGCAAGCCATTATTTACGTCTTTGGCAAATTTGCCGTAAGTTTGTGATAATAGTTTGTGATAATTTGGCTTGTTTTTCAGTATTTTATTCTTAGTAATATTATTAGTAACACAATTTTTGTGCTTAGTGGAATACTGCTCGTCCCAGACTCCCTAGCTAGGCACCTCTGCCTATGGCGCTCAGCCTCCCATCCATAATAAGGGCGCATTAGATGCAAGGTAATTTGTGATACATTAATAAAAAAATGCATCTTATACGCCGGCAAATACGGTATATGGGTTACATAAGGTAACTTTACAAACAATCCACCTTATTGTCACATCTTCCTTTAGTGTTGAATAAAAATTGACACTTTAATAGCCTACTCTAGTAAAAGTTGTGTTCACTGATTAATTGACTAACTTCCCATTCATGGGCGTCCGCAGGGAGGGGCAAGGGGGGCATTTGCCCCCCCCTGGAAAATCAAAATTTTGAAAAAATTACATGGAAAATACAAAATGAATAAAATAACATAAACATTTCTCAACAGTTCATTCAGTTAGAGCAGGTTACTACTCTTGGAACAGGAATTGGAGCCGTCGGGGATCTCTTCCGAAATTGTCAATGATGTCTTCACACCTCACACGTCGAATTCAGGATAACATTGCCTCCCCCCCCTGCATTTTTTTCTGCGGACGCCCATGTTCCCATTGTATTATATAGGATTGAGTTGTCTTTCAAATATGAGTGATTTGAATTGTAAAGGTGTAATTTATCATATTAAGAAATAATCTTTCTTGCTGGTGTAAATACTGTGTGCTGATTTGAGGAATGGTCAATGCATTTCTGATGAGTTAAAAAGTGCCTAATGTTGATTCATACAAACCACTGGATACTGAAAGTGTATGTACCAACCACATTCATAGTCGTAGGGGCAACAGTCGCCAGGCCTGTACAGAGGTCGACAGCCAGCCTGCAAGTGACCTGGACAATCTATGTCAGCACATACTATCGTCGCTCTGTCAGGTAAAAAAATTCAAATAAATCTTAAAACTTACATTAAGAATATTAAAATATAAAAATGTTCTGCTATTTACTCATATACCACATGTCCTTCTCCACCCAGCTACACATGGTGTATGAACATATTTTTTCCTGCCTCAACATGAAAGTACTGTACGTAGTTAAGTTCCAGTTACCAGATACAGTTACCATAGATCACCAGTAGTGAAACTTTGCCCTTACAGTTTCACATCATTGCCAGGGTGACAGAGATGAGAATGAATTCATAATAGTAGGCCATAATAAATGTACTGTAGAGGACATATAGAATGGTTAAGAATATCTAATAAAAGTTCTTTTATCATTTTTTAAGTTTAAATTTTTCTAACATTATGAATGATTAACCTTTAAGATCAACAGTCTTATTTAACCTTTTTTTTCATAATAAAATAAATGTCTGTAGGAGGTACAGCATACAAGACCAGGGGCCTCGACAAAAAGGATTAAACAAACTTTTGAAATAATATGTACCGGTAACTGGAAACTAATTTGTAACTGCAGAACTTAACCCTTTCACTATGGGGATATCACTTTGATTATTCTATTTGGCTAATGCCAGACAATTTTATTGCAGTGTAGGGCAGAGGTACTCAATTGTTATCCATCTCCATGTGTTTATAATCTCAAAATCTGTTGACAGTGCAAATGAATTAAATAAATGAACAAGAGCCCACAACTCAAAAGAAACCATAAAAGTAACCATCCATCTTGCTGAAGAGACAACCTGGTGGGGCGGGGAGGGGAGATGAACAAAAGGAAAAAAAAACTAATTATCTGTAACAAAATAAAACACTGCAGGTAATGTATGTATTTTGTGGTCAAAAGTTATCATACATTTTTCTCTTGTTGAAGGAGGAATGATGAATGAAAAAAAATAAACAAAACCTCTGTAGAATGCACAAAAATTATTCATCCCTATTTGTTGAATAGGAAAAGGGGGATGATTACTTTTGGCCCCGAGTGTACATATAATTGTGACTGTGGGCCTTTAATTTAGTGATTAATCATCATTAGTTTGAAAAGTGACACTTCATGCTTCTTGCCAATTCCCTGAACTTTGGTACAAATGATGTGATAGCTAGTGTAGGCATCAGTCTGGTGACCCTCCTTTGGACACTTTCAGTCAACTGACAATCTCTAGCATATTTTGAGGACCAGACAGGGTGACAGTACTCCAGACAGGGAAGCACCTCACTAACATTATAGAACTAATATAAAGATACTAACATAGTGGTATTACTGTTGTATAATGTTACTAATATAATGACACAAAAATATTAGTAGATGATATATAAAAAAAAGGCTACATTATGAGACCATGTATAATGGATAAATGATTTACCTCAGTTTACCCATAAATGGATGACTACTCTTAATACTTACAGATTTCCTGGGTTACGTGATTCTGCACAAAAGCATCCAACAGAGCAAGAGTTGTCCACCGGTACACTACTACCTACTGCATAAGCCTTGCCTTTGAAGTAACAGTTCATTGGGTCTGACGAAGTTTCATTTGCTGTTGACAAGCAAAGAATAGATAAAAATTCTATTAAATAAACCCTTATAATACCTATTCATCATCATTATTACTCTTTCACTTCTGTGTGGGGTAGATGAAGAGGTGCAATCATCTTCAAAAACGGGAGTGACAAAAGTGGTGTAAAACAAATGTGCATTGTGAAAGCACAAGTATAAAACAGTCAATCTTATCATCCACACACACACACACATGCTTTATGCTTTATATCAACTCATTGTATACACACACACACACACACACACACACACACATTCTCTCTCTTCCAATACTTAATGCTCTAGAGCCTCACCTATTCTTCATCCTTGCATTACAGTGACCCCTCGTTTAACGAACACCTCGGTTAACGTAATTTCGATTAACGAACTGCCTTCCATAAGGATCTTCAATTCAGTTAACGAAAAAAAATTCGGTTAACGAAGTTCTTACAAACCGACCTCAACATGTTTTCGCTTGCACTGACCGGGCAACCAGCTTTAGTATCAGTTCGCCAATACATTAATCGGTTCTAGGGCTTAAATTCCTTACTACAGGTAGTTCTGCTATAACGCGATAATTGTGTTCTTGTAAAATATCGTGTTATAGAAAATCGCGTAATAGAAATAACAGGGCTTATGGAGCAAATAGGGTTAGGTGCAGATTACTCGAAATCGAAAAAATTTAGTAGTTAGCCTAACACAAAGGATAGCACAGTCTAAATAAATGTTACATTCATATCTAATAATGAAATCATACAGTAAATTTAACACTTTACCTTGAAAAAATATGAATGTAACTTGATGGGGGAGAAGGGTGATTTTGAGGTTGATAACATCGAGCTTCTCTTCAAGTGTTATATCCTTTCTTTTACGATAATCACCGGGAATTCTATCATCAGAACGCTTTTTGGAGATATTCTTCTTTACCATATTCACAGTTAATACCACAAAATTGGAGAAATAGTAAGCAAAAATCGCGTTATAGCAAACAAGCGTTCGCGTTATACAAATATTGTTCCGAATTCATAAATCGCGTTAGAGCAAATTCGCGTTATCAAAACACGCGTTATAGCAGAACTCACTGTATTTTAGTAAATATCAAGAAGTTTATACTATTCAATAATTTTAAAAGTTTAATATTCAATTTTTTGGTCATTTTAACAATTATTGAACATAATTGAAGGTAAAGTGACTAGTTTAATGGGCGGCATCCAGCCTCTTAACACAGCAAACAGGAGTTAGTCTCTCTCTGTTTTCACTGGAGGTAACATCTTGCTTGAGACTCTTCAACTAAACGCTTTTTTTCTGTTTCCAAGCAAATTATTGGTCATTTTGAAATATATTTTACACATTGACAATATATAATGCAGTGCAGTGTTGATTTAAAGAAAATAATCTTGAATTACACCAAGAGACCTAAAATTTTATGGGTGAAATGGCGCCATGGGGTGACTTCTCTTCCACCCCAATGCCTTCTCTTCTTCCTTCTCCTCCAACCCCATTCTAAATCCCATCATCATCATCATCATCATCATCATCCAGGAGCCTTCTACATACACACCTCAAAGTAAGTGAACTTTTCTACCATTTTTGTTGAATTTAGGAAATTTTCGGTGAGCTGGAACCAATTCCCCAAAAACCCATTGAATAAATGGTTTCGGTTAACGAACTTTTCAGTTAATGAACGACCTTCTGGAACGGATTGAGTTCGTTAACGGAGGGGTCACTGTATTTTGTATTATCTTCAGCTTTTCAATTTCTCTCCTTGCTAATACTGAATTCATTCACAGCCTGTAGGTCTTCTCCACTGACAATGATATTATGGTGAAACTGTTCTTCTCTTTCCCATATCATTAATTTACACTTTCCACATTTACCTTTGACATGTGGCTCTTGCAGACTTTATAAAAATATAATAAAAACAATCTGTTTCTCTGAGCCTCACTCACCTGAACAGCAGTATTTGTGTTTTATAAATATTATAACTGACTCTGAGTCATCATTTCTCAGTTTCATTCCAAAGTTGCCCAGTCTCAGTTTCATTCCAAAGTTGCCCAGTCTCAGTTTTATTTCATGAAATGATCGTTGTATGAAAACATTAAGTAACCTCAGTAGCATCACACACCAATGATGCATTTCTCCAATTATCTAGAGCCACTGTCATTACAGCCACTGTTGTATGCCAGTTACTTACGGCAAGAGAAGCTGGTAGGGCAGCATGAGCCTCTCTCATACTGGGGCAGACAATTCTTGGTAAAATAATGACCCCATCTCTTCCACGGGCACTCAGATCTATCACATGAAGATTCTAGAAAAATTTATAAATTATTAAAGTAATATTATACTGAATCTGAGTAGTACATTTGAGTACAGGTTGTGATAATTTGTGGTTGCTCAGCGGTTGTAGTTCCAGTTTCGAAGCTTCGTGACATCACTAGTGTATAATGAGTCTCCATATGCCCTGGTTTATTCATTGATCAGTTGTCTAAGTGCAAATGTAACCCAATCGAGCTATCATGTATCAATTAATTTTAAAATAGAAATTATAATGTAAAATGTTATAAGACAATGGTTTAGTAGTGCTGTTAATGTGTGTGCTGTGTAAGTGTCTTGGCATGTTACCTCACCACCTGATTCCTGAACAAACTCTTCATCAATTTCTTTAAATCCTACAATGTGCTTGGCAAGCTCAACACACACACACATCCTGTAAGAACAACTCAGTGCAAACCCTTAAAAAAATTATCAGCAACTCATAATCAACCAGTGAATTCACTCCCAGCCAATCTTACCTTTTTGCACTGTCACTATGTTAAAATGCCCTATAGTATTTCCCTCTCTTTCTTCTTAATGTAGATGACAGTTGAGTCATTGATGCCATATTCCCAGCCACATGTGGAAAAGATTTGGCCACTCCTAAGTTTGTCCAGCAGTTGTATCTTCTCCACGAGAGTCATGACGTTCTTTTCTCTCTTCACTTGTTTGGGCACCTTCCCACAGCTGGATGGTGGTGGATGAGGGCATTTGGGAGTCATCACAAGCACGAGGAGCACAGTTGTTATGAGAGCAGAGTAGCACACACATGAGATGGACAAGTGTTTATTCCAGACTGAGGCGGAGGGAGCGTGCTCCCCGTACCAGCCGCAAAAATTACGGCAACTTTAAAACTACCAGGAGACAATTTTGGGTACATCCGGGGTGTCATCCAAATAATAGAGGACTGTGAAATAAAAATTCGCAAATTATCCTGGCATGCTTTATATGTATGTATATAAACAGTATATATATATATATATATACAGTAATACCTCGGTTTACGCGGTTCTCGTTTACGCGTTTCCACATTTACGCGGTCCCAGCCAGAACCTGAATGCCCAATTTACGCGGTGCATCTACTCATATACGCGGGTGAAGTATAATTTTTTTATTTAGCTCAAAATTCATACAAATTACCTGGCCAGAATATAATTTACATTGCTGGAATTCTTACAATATGATGATCATTTTAAATATAAACATCATGGATTTTGCATTAGACATACAAATTTTAGATCTAATGTAAAAATTTTGTTTACACAGAGCAAATATGTTATCTTTTGTGCAAAATATATGATGTGTATATTCAAAATATTCCTGGTCTTGCAAGGAATCCAGCAATGTCAATTATATTATCCTAACTTTAGTCTGAGGTATTATTTATTACTAAAAATGTAAATATACTGTTTTAACCCAAACATTTCTCTGGTAGGGAGAGAAGGTGGGGGGTGGGGGGTAGGGAGGGAGGGAGGGACCCAGTGAGCGTGGGAAGAGGGGGGGAGCTGGAGGTGGGGTATTTTGATTGACAGATAGTGTCTGGGAGAAGTTAATTTTTTTATTTACTTAAGATATTTCTTTTAGCTTGTAAAATTCATACAAATTACCCGACCAGAATATAATTTACATTGCTGGAATTCTTACAATATGATGATCATTTTAAATATAAACATCATGGATTTTGCATTAGACATACAAATTTTAGATCTAATGAAAGAATTTTGTTTACACAGAGCAAATATGTTATCTTTTGTGCAAAATATATGATGTGTATATTCAAAATATTCCTGGTCTTGCAAGGAATCCAGCAATGTCAATTACATTATCTTAACTTTAGTCTGAGGTATTATTTATTACTATACCTTAAAATCTAGTGTTTTCACCCAAACATTTCTCAGAGGAGGAGGAGCCAGCGAGCATGGGAAGAGGGGGGGACGGGGGGAGTTGAGTCCATTATTTGAATGGACATTAACCTGGTGACTGTATTTCTCTTAAATATTAATTGTGTGTGCATACCATTTACGCGTTTCTCGTTTTACACGGACCTCCACTGGTTCAATTGACCGCGTAAATCGGGGTATTACTGTATATATATATATATATATATATATATATATATATATATATATATATATATATATATATATATATATATATATATATATATATATATATATATATATATACAGTGGGGTATGCTATAACGAATCTAATTGGTTCTAGAACCTTGTTCGTTATAGCATTCGTTCGTTATAGGATTAATCCGTTCCAGGCCCCCAAATACAACCACTTAACACTGAAAAATATAATATAAAATTGTAAAAATTGTAAAAAAGTGCATAAATATGCATCTAAACCCCTGAAATAAAGAATATCATTAATATTTGTAATAAAAAAACAATAAATTAGAAAAAAAAAAATTAAATAATGTTCGTTGTAGGAGTTTCGTTCGTTATAGCATTCTCAATTTTATAGGTAAAACCGTTCGTTATAGGAATATTCGTAGTAGAATCCGTTCGTTATAGCATACCCCACTGTATATATATATATATATATATATATATATATATATATATATATATATATATATATATATATATATATATATATATATATATATATATATATATATATATATATATATATATATATATATATATATATATATATATACTGTATATACTGTGTGGATGCTGTACACACACGGCAGCGTGCCAGCCGAAGTTGTCATAAGGCATTGTTAGATATTACGACCAAACGTCTAGACTGGAAAATAATGTAAAATATATAACGACAATGACCGTCGTAAAACCGGGTTATCTTAAGTCGCATATGTCGTAAGTCGAGGAGAGGTTGTATACACACACACAGGGGGTCCCCGACTTTCGAACGCCCGCTGATACAAATGAGGTTCCACGAGGTCAATTATTTTAAAAATTTGACATAAGTACAACTGGTTCATGGCATTTACATACGGGAGCTAGTTTGTGTGGCATAGAGGGGAGGCAGAGCAGTGTGTGGGGAGTGATGCGCCGCACCCAGCCACGCACCTATAAACTTCATGGCCAATTTCACCAGCCCAGCCACCTTGTATACTGTCACTTGTAAAGATGAAAGTTGTGTAAAAATAATTACAATACTCTAACATGGCTTAAAAATATGGAAAATATAATATAAAACTATATATTAAAAAATGAAGAGCATATGTTGGAAGTGAATGTGTGTAATGTAACATCACAGCATACACACAGCTAGCACGGCAGCCACAAATCTGTGAGTCTGCTGGTTGTCTGCTTGAACTGTGTCCGTCATAGAGAAGATGGTTTGAGTGTGGAAGGAGCTATTTTTGTACATAAAATATGCACTATTGTATTTTATGATATGTTATGCATCGATTTTATTGTTTATCATAGCAATAAATATGGCAGCTATTATTTACTGAACAGCGATTGAAGGACGTGTATCCATCACAATAATTGGTGGGTAACTGACCCCGAGGCACGAGCCTTGAGACAAAGATTACACATGAGTTGAGCTGCCAATTAAATAAATATCCTGCCTGGACAATCAAAATATACCACAAAAATTAAGAACATTGAGGAACATCACCTAGGGTCACCTTAGTTAATGTAGAGGAATGTCACCCAGGCTTTAAGGGTGAATAATTCCTTGGAGTAATGTGTCTCAAGAGTTGAATATGTAGTGCCTAGACCAGGGGTTCTCAACCAGGGGGGAATTTCCCCCCTCAGGTTTTCAGGGGGGGGGGGGAAACAGATACTTATATGGAAAAAATAAAGGATTTTCAGTATTATATGCATATTATTTGGAATGCACTTTTTGAGGCAGACAATCTTGGAAAGGAGGGGGAATGACATTCTGACATATGGTGAAAGGAGAGCATGGGGCAAACAAGGTTGAGAACCACTGGCCTAGACTATTGTGAAACATGCATGATATACAGTACTGCATATGATATGTGTGTGAAATAAATCAGGATCTTTAGTATGAAAAAGTTTTTATTTATATAACTTAATCATGATACACCTTGTGAGAAATACTTACAAGTTAGTCATTCTAAAACAAAGCTATGGTACAAACAGGCTCTACTCTACACAATTCAAGGCCATAAGATTTGCAAGGAACAAATAAATATTCTAAGGACGTGGACAACAAGATGCTGAAGGATTATCTCCAGGGCTCATACCATACATGCAAGGTGGTATTTAGAAGTGTTTAATACTCTTTAACATACAATGCTACAAGACTCAAGCATGATATACTGTACTCACTTATATTCCTGCACTGATACTACTGATCTTTTTTATGCTGCAGCCTTTGCATAAAAAAGCTCATCAATACCTATGTTAATCTGTATACTGTACATATAAGTACTATACACTGTTGTAGTTAGTAATAGTGCCTTCCATGGTACAAAGAGACAATGTATTTCTGCCAACAGGCAGGTCATTTGGTGACACTTTGCAGTTGGAAGAGACCTCTGCTCATGTCCTGTGTACCATAATTAAAAAATAGCCTGGACAACCTTCACCAAATTTTATAAATACAATCAGATGGAACGAAGAAACATATGATAGGATAAAACATAGAGATGCTACTAAAGAAGATATGAAACCCTCTAATAACTTGCACTTTTCTTTTGCTAAATTTTTCAAACGGAGACGTATACCAACTGTGTTCTAATGTTCATTTAATAATATTGCTAAGTTAATAATGGAGATATTGTCAAATACTCAGGTTATACCAGTTCTTCAATGAATAGTTCCTCCCTGGCAGCCACTGTAGTGTTTCTCAGGCCCCCAAGAGAGGCAACAATAATTGATATAAATTAGATTGAAAAGTTTCAAGATAGTTTTGTAACCTAGTCAGGTGATTAGCCATTTGTGTGTATTAGCATATGTCTGTATTACTTCATATATCTATCTATTTGAAGTTAAGTACTATAATAACATTTCAGCATACTACATCTTCTTTAGTGAATATATTATTTGGAGTTTACTATTATACAATCAAATGGAAGGCTATTGGTATAATTAAACTTTCATATTCCACTTGCTTGAATATCTGAAGTCACTACAGTATATGAATGCAGGAAGGTGCAAACAACTTACTGGAATACAAAGCAAGTGATTCGTTCCCTGACAAAAAGGTAGGTAACAAAAATTATGCTAATGCATAAAAGCTGTGCAGGTCCAAAAGATCTATCCACTGTTATTATAATGGAGTGAAGTAAATGAGTGACTAAGATATAAAGTGGGTCTGTTTTGTGAAAATCGCATCTTTGTCTTTAATTCTATCCTGTTTTTGAGGGTGTCTACAATATTTTGTGAAGATTGACTGGGCCATTTTTTGTCCATGATTCAAAAAAGTATAATAAGAAAGATATAATGAATTTTTAGTTTGTCACTAAATGATGTCGGAGCATTTGTAGATCACATGACCCCTGTCTTTTTGCCTCATGGTAACACTAAGTGCAACAATCTAATATAGGCATGCTGAGGTGAGATGAACTCTAATAATAATAGTAGGTTAACATACACTTTAAATTAAACTTGCAGTGACATAAAAAATTAGTTTCATTCAACTAAGCATCGTAAGGAATATTAGTCTGGGTTTCATTCACATCTATATGACTTTTTGGCGGCGGTAATAGTCTTAAAGTTTTTATCATCAGAGATTAGAAAACTTTTCCTTTATCACTTGAAAGAAAAGTGGAATGCAGGCATTTACCATCATACGATGGGATTAAGGGCCTCACAAAGCCATTGCTAAGTGATCAAACGTATATTGAAAATAATAACTTATGGAGAAAAATAGGTTCCATTCGTGAGACCCTCAAGAGGCCAAACAAGTTTTATATTGTGCTGCTGTAATGATTAAATAATGTCTAAGTAACTCAAATAATTTATAAATAGACATAAAATTCATAAATTAAAAAAAAATCTATTTTACAGCTGTACATAATATGTACGTGTACATACAAACCATCCTCTGGCCAATGTGACACATTCAACTGCTTCGCCTGTCAATCACCAGGGAGAGCCAGAACCTCCCCCGTGGGTCTCATGTGTTACACCGTTCTGATATTGCATCACCATATCTCAGAATATCACAAGTTACTGCACATCACTTTTTCATAGCAGTGACAATACAGGAAAAACATTCAGGTAGCGAGCATCATAAAGCTGATCTGTAGCCATCGCATAGTGGTAAATGGTGTTCAATATTTTACATCGTAAAACTGATCGAGCATATACTGATCCATCGTATAACGGTTACTGCCTGCATTGAACCATTCCCAACAGCTTACAGCCAGTTAACTTGTATACAGGCTGCTGAATCAGAAGTTCAGTATCCCTAGATGACCCCTAGTCCAAGGATGATATATTGACCCAATGGCTACACAAATCATTACCCACTTCCCTTCTCATCCATCATCTCAAAATGGGGGATCAGGTGTAATAGTTGTCCTCTAGAGACAATAAGTCTCATTCTAGTTGTATCTGACTCTGACCAATCAGCACATTTCACACCAACAGCTGCCATTTTGTCCCATTTCACCAAGGGACGGAACATCCTTTGGCAGTTATATCTCTTCCCACCTCCACATAGCCTGAGGATTAATAATTGAGGATGTTTACAGTTTTGAAGTATTTTTACTATGCACATCATGTTAGCGCTGCAATCTTGTCAATTCTCTCTACATTATCTAGATTTAAATACTGCTGAGTCAAGTACCCACCTCTTGTTTGGGAGGAGACACATTACCAGTCAGAATGATCAGTGAGTTATCTGCAGATCTGTTAAACAAGTGAGGGGAGATCAGAGTTACAATGCCAAATTGTCATCAAGCTTCAGAAACTTTTTAGTCTGATGATGAAGCAAACAAATGCATCTGACTAATAAAAAAAAAACAGGAGTTGCATTACCTTCTGTAATTCACTCCTTACCAGCGGCCAATACATTAAAAAAATTCTCTTTACATTTCCCCAAGATCCAATTCCATTTGAGAGAACACAATCAACCAATATTCCATAACCAAACTCTCACATCCTTCTCCTTTAGTTGAGCAGATCACTATTTCAAACCAAAAGACCAAAGCCTCAAGATACTCATAAACAATGTAGTCTAACTTGTGTTTGGCACTACACAATTACCTGCATTGAGTTTTATTACAGTAATTAGATTTGTCTTTAAAATTAAAACAAAACATAAATTATTTCATTCAAACAATTATAACCATAACATCACAATTATACGAAATAAAATACCATAGTAGTTTGAATGCAGAAGATTGGTATAGAACGTCAAAAGTCATTCCAAACCAATAAACATAAGACCCAATAATAGTCTCATTTAGTTATGAACACCAAGAACTGCAATATATTCCTAAGGTGTTGCAGGATACTTAGCATTTTGAAATACTGTACATAGGCCATCAAGGAGATAACCAGTACAGAGGTGTCTTTTCTTGATGACATATGGCTATGAGCTGGAGTACGGATGAGGGAGTCTTTTCTTTTCGTGCAAAGTGTATTTAATGTTAAGGCATGGGTAAGAGATGCCTCCAGTCTCCAGAGGACACCTGTAACACTTTATCTTTCCATTTTGGGATAATGGCTGATATGGTGAGGTGAGTAAAGATTTGTGGGTTATACATCAATCCTTAATGAATGACCGGAGATTATATACAGACACTGATTTCTCTCATTTAACATGCTCTGTTATAAGGAGCTTCCTGACAAGAGAACATTAGCCAGAGAAGAAAAAAAAGAAAAAAATCACATTACTGTACTGTATATAATTCTAATGTTTCTGATATCATTTATATATAATTTCACATTGGTTCATTTCCCTGACTTACCAAAGTGTGTAATGTATTTATAACACAAAGTTCAATACTAGTCTCATGCACAATTTCAAATCTACATTGACATTAGGGATTACCAGCGGCTGTTGTGACTCCTCCACACTCTTGCTGGCATTCTTCAAGTGAAAGGAACCTGTTGGCATTGCCCTGACAACCTCCATACAGGAATTCTTCACACTGACCACTCTCTGCATTGTATGCGAAGCGAACATATGATGCAAAACATGGTCCTATGTCATGCTTCTTGAAACATTTCTCAGGTTTTGTGTCAACTGAAAAAAAAAAATTGTGGAGTGTTAGAAGATATGAATAACTACTAAGAACCTATTGTTGTACCGGTACTTAAATTTTTTTTAAAGTACTGTTCAGTAATGTCATCAGAAAGAGCAATTTTTTTTTAGGAGCTCTAAAGTGTCCTAACAATGCTTGTGATAGTTAACATTGAAACATAACGAGCACTTACAATGTTACAACAAGACAGTAAAAGATGATTAACCAATTATATGAAATCTTATCCCTACTCTCCTGTTGCAGATACAGTATTAGATTGATCACCCTTCAAGACCGTGCTGTTTTTAAATGTGATAATTTTATTCTCCAAGAAGAATATCATTTATCAATTAATCTGGTCTTCTGGTGAGTTACGGTGGAATTTCATGCCTAGTACTTTCATGTGGGACAAAAACTTGCACTTTATTGAAATCATGTGCCTCATCATTGTTATATTATGAGTGGGAAACACAGGTAAAAGGAGATGGTGGACCAATGAAACTGCCTATCAGCAGTTACAGTGGAAGAAAGAATAATACAGGTCTTTTAAATAGCTCTTACCAAGACTATAGCAATAAACAATTGAAAAATCATTCACAGATTACATGCCTCCATCCCATAATTTGGCCTCCATTAACTATAGTGCCTATGAAGTAAACAAGGGTGATACACCAACCTGCATAAGTTCTGAGACTGCTGACAAGTTTGCATGAGGCCCTACACTCTGCCTCTGTTTCATACAAGTTCTTTGTTCTTCCACAGCCTCCATAAACTGTTTCCTTGCATTTTTCACTTATACTGTATTAAAATAAGAAAAACAAATTAAAAAACAATAAACTGAAGAGATAATTTCTGTGTTAGGAAAGGAAAAATATTATAAACAAGAGTTCAATCTCAAATAATCATTTTAGTTGATGGTACAACAAGCTTAGAACCTGAGGTGAACCATTTTCCGAGATTTGTCGGATATGTATATACTTCTGGCAAAGAAATGGATATGTTCACATCATCATCTTCGATCTCAGAAACGTCTTTGTCAATTAGATTTAATATGGAATAAATGGTATTGGTTCCAATCCTTCATTATTCTGTATTTAGCATATGCCAAAAATGAACAGAAAGTCCTATAATAAGGTAAATAAAACTGATACATAGCACATCATAAAATACAAAAACACAAATTTTATGTACGGTATATATTGGGAATTTACTTTCATAAATATTTTTGTTCTCTCTAATTCATACATTAGGTTACTGCAAAATTAAATTAAAAAGCTTAGTATATTGTACACTTGCTACAAAAATTAGTTTAGAGTGGGGTCAGATGAACATCAAAATGAAAGCCACAACTCCTATTGTCTCTATAGGTTTGTCAAAATCTTTGTCCATTATGTTATATTGTCTCACCAAAATCGTTTAAGACACTTTTTGGAGTGAGTGTTAACTAAATATGGTATGTAGAGTAATAGGAATTAAATATCTCTTAAGAACACTACTTACAAGTCATATGTCCACATTCTCATATTGAGAAGGTCCTCACAGGCTGGACCATCAGTAGATACAGGGGGCAGTTTACAATGTGGTGGCAGCTCTGGGACGCTGCAACCATCCTTCCTGTAAAATGTAACAAAGACTTTAGTAAAAAAAATACTGTGATGGTCAAGTTATGGTAGAATGGTGCAAATTCTACATGTACAGTCAACCCTCACTTTACGCGGTTAATTCAACCCACAGGGTACCGCGTAAAGTGAGAAACGCGTATAAAGTGAACAACATAACATATGGGATTAATTGAAATAGAGACCGGGCCAACCCCCAAACTCCACTTTTTGACTACACACAACTATGTTGTAGTAAAAATATTTTCTTAACTTTATGATGGTATGCACACACAATTAATCATTAAGAGAAATATCAATAATATTAGGTTTTTTAACACTTACATTAGTAGAAGAGATGGCTGGGCACACGGGGATGGGCGGTTGGTTCCGAGGCAGAGGGCAGATTATTGGCCCTCACCTGTATCACTTGTATCAATTGTATCACTATCCACCACAGAGGCTTGCAGGGCCTCTTTGTCAAACCCCTCAAAGTCCATATAAGTCCATATCCTCACTATAATTATCACTATCACTGACTTGGGCCGGCTGTGGTGGGTGGCGGGTGAAGAACTCGGTAATGTTTTGATGACTGGGCGACCTTGTGCGCACCATGCTCGCACCGCTTACACAACATGGCGGATGGCGGGAGAGGGCAGGAGGTTTGGATCCAAAAATGGCGCGGCTCGCCAGCCGCTCTCCGCGTAAAGGGGTACACGCACCGCGGAATGTGAGCATTCCTGTTTCAGCAGGGTACCGTGTAAACGTGGAAACGCGGAATGTGGGACCGCGTAAAGCGAGGGTTGACTGTATTTGAACAACATTGTTTTACACAATTTGTTCCGTTTTCAATGTAGCGAAATATACCCATTCCTGGGCGGACAGAGCATGTAAATATACCCGCCCTTTAAAGGATAATAAAGGATAATGATCTTTGTCCAGTACCAACATACAGTAAGTGAACCTACTGTATGTATATACAGTAGTAGAGTAAACTTGACAGATGTTATTTTGGGAAAGCTTAGAAACCAAACACTAAACCATTAATATCTATGATCTGTTATTTGTTATTTCAGGGGGTGAGACAATAATGACTATGGATGGCAGATATTCAGTGGATCTATTCCCTCACAAGCCACTCATAAGACACAAGTAAACAGAACAAGGTGTGCCAGACTGGACTGTTGGATGCTGTTCCATGGTATCTTGAGGTCATGTAAATCAGTGATTTAGTGATTCAATATTTGGTAAAAATTATCCTGGTAACTTTTATAAAGCACTTCCTCTTTATCTCACCTTAAGTAATAATTTGTAAAATTAACAAATTATATATGGCAAAACAAACATATTTAAAATTTTCAGACTTCATGTGGTCAAGATGTTTGTTGCTTTGAGTACCTTCACTCTCTGGGTTGCTGTTGCCTTTAAGATAGTATGCAGACAAGTGGCAACAAGGATAAAGTCAGTAAAATGACCGTTCAGAATGGACCAAATATCTACGAAATCACATTCCATATTCCCTCTCCAGTGAAAACTCTCCAGTGAAAAAATTAAGATGTGTTCATTTTGGTGAGAAATGGAGGAGTGGAACAAGAAATTCTATGTCATAGCAAAGGAGATATGATGAATGGCTTTCAAAATATCACCAGCAGAATCCTCCCAACCAGTGCCTGCCATGGTGCCATCTTGACATGTTACAGTGAATGCAATTTTCCAGGGCCATCTTCACCTGTAACATGCCTGCTTACCCAGTTACTGGTGCAGTATGTTATATTTATGTTTAATAAATTAAACAAATTTCCCAAATTCAAAAGCTTTTACTACCATACCTTGATGTTCTCATCAACATAACATAAATTATAAATGTTCTTTTAAAATGCTCTGCTTATTCAAGGTTTCAACATCAATGAAATTATCTTACGTTTCTCCTCTGCATTTGAGGTTTGCTGCGTCTGGTTCAGCACAAAGTTCTGTTGTACAAATGGTACGCCCATATGAGCACCGACATATATTGCAGTTTTCTCTCCATGATTTCCCCTCCGTGCAGACAAGGTCACCATTCTCTAAGTGAGTAAACATAAAAATAAAGAGTATGTGGACACACAATGAATTGGATAAAACTAAAATATATCCAAAATACTAAACACTAAATAATTGTATCTCCCTGAGATCATAAAGAATAAATTTGCTCGTTTTTTTTTCTAGGGCAAAAATATATTAACAATCAGGAGAAAAGTATATGCAGAGTCTAGTGACTTCTGCAACATGACCTAACTATCAACAAGTGATACAGGAACCTCTTACCTGTTCTAAAATACATCTTAAAAATATTGAACTTTTTCCAGCATACTGTATATCTACAAAGGGTAAAATAAAGGATATACATGTGTAGGCGAAGGATAACAACAAGAACGAAAATGTATAATAGTTGCCACTAAACTGATTGTCAAGTAAAATTTGGGGTCATACTAGGGTAGAACAGTATTAAAGTCCACCTATCAAAACTGAAGGATGATGGTAAGGTCACACTGCATAACATCCTTCTCACATATGACCCAGGGAGTGAACCTGGGATACACTGGTTAGAGGCAAGGAAGTATTTGTATGGAACAAATGGAGCTGAAGAACTTGAAAGCAAGAACAGGACTGGGCTTCAAAACAGCTCTGGACAAGACTATCAAGAACAAATGCTGGATCCCACACAGGCCACAAGCCTCCTTCCTCCAATTGTGGTGGCTATTAGGTAAATTTGGTAAGTAAATGAGACACCTTGTGTTTCTTGTTCCAATAAGTATATTTCAACTTCAGTACTTTTTTTATTTCCACTCCAAAGTTTTTTTGTTCTTGTTACATGGTTGAGTCAGGTTTGGGAAATCATTATCATCTATATGAGAAGGAAGAATATTGATAGGAACCTTATAACTTACGTGGCACCACACAGCCTAACTTAGAACAAGAAGCACGACCATTCCGACAGTTGCACCAATTGCAATCCTTTTTCCATCGAGCTCCAGCTTCACATTCTGCTGCCTCAGTCTGAAAATCTGCAACATATAGTTGTGATGAGATAAGATTATTGCAACCAAATTATTTATGATCCCATGAAATATTCAGCCCTTTTATGGAATGAATATTGTATGACCAGGTATTATCAATTCTGACACTAAGACATGGTTAGTTCTCATGAGATGGATGATTACAGTAATGCAATCCTATCAGCATAGGTAATAATTGATAGCACAGTTCAAGTCTTTTTTTTCCGAACTCATCAGGGCCAATGATAGTTCAGATACCTGGACGTGCCTACAAGAACATGCAATAATTAACATAAGGTCAAAATTTGGTTCAACAATAGCTTGACTTACTGGGAAAGGGAAAAAATTGGGGATGAAGTGGCCTGTGAGATGATATATTGTCATTGTTACATGTAATGAAACCATAAAAGTTGTGCCATAATCATTACAATAATGTGTACAGTAAACCCTTGTTATTCGTGGGGGGTTAGGTTCCAAGGAATGGCGTGAATAGGAAAAACCGCAAATAGCAACTTATACTATCTTAGTACACTACTGTTTATCTATACCAAACAACCAACCAGCCACTGCAGCACTCATCCCCTCTTTTAATTTACCTAATAATTCAACTTTCTTTGTCAGGGTCATCACTGACTTCTGCCTTTTACATTTCACTCCACTAGCACTGACACTAGGCAGTCTTTCAGGGGCCATTTCATACAGAAACACTAAAGTTTTAAGAATACAACACGAGATGCTGTGTGGGGTGACTAGTGCTGCGGGAAAAGGTTTGCAAGCTAGCCACCATAGCCACCATCTGCTTACTGCGAATCGTCGAAATCGCAAATCCCAAACCCGCGAATGGCAAGGGTCTACTGTACTCTAATGTGATTTGGAAAAAGAAAATATAGAGTATTATAAAATTATAAAATAAGAAAAATGAAGGACATGGGTGTGAATGTGTGGGAAGTGAACATATGCATGAGGCAGTGGACTCTAACTGTGTTGCCGACTCACCAGTAGCTGCCCACCCAGCCTGCGCTCCCTCACCCAATGCGAGTACGCACGCACGCACACGTCTTGGAGCCAGCTGGTTGACTGCCTAGCTGAACTGTGTTGTATCACCCAGTAGATGGTTTGAGTGTGGGAGGAGCTATTTTTTGTAAATAAAATATGTTCTATTCTATTTTATGATACGCTATGTATCAATTTTATTGTTTATTATAACATGATATTACAGCAAAAATCTTCCACCCACCAAAAAGTTTGGCACGGTTGTAAACAAAGCTGTTACAGCACCACAGGTGGCACACACATGAAAGAATGACTTTGGTTACGTTGCGATTGCTTGACTAAATTAGAATTTTAACTGAATGAAACCAAGGGGACAAAAGTTTGGATACCTGAAATATTCCGATAATTGGAGTTCAGATAAAAGGAGTTGCACTGTACTCATGATTTACAACGTTTAGTGTTGGTAGTACACACAGCACAGTTTGTGTTGATGTGTAAAACTTAATTGTAATGAGATAATAACTGTAACCATTCATACGAGAGAGAGGGAGGGAGAGTGAAAGAAATTGACTCACCAACTAGGCATATATTTGCAGTACACTCTCCTCTTCCCCCAAGACACTCACACCAATTGCATGATTGACGCCAACGAGACCCTTCGGTGCAGTTTGCTTCTCTCTGTTGTACCGGCACTTCTACGGTAAATATATTAGGGAACTAATAACCACTCCAAAAAGGAAATTAACATAACTGAGCTTCTAGATGTTCCTATTATGCAAAAGGGCACCTATTGTATATCTCAGATTTAGGATATCATTAATAACCAAAGTATAATGACAATGATGATAGAACACAAACAATAACTCACCGAATCCATCACAAGATAACTTAGAACATATAGCACGGCCTTCATAACATGTGCACCAATTGCAATCCTTCTTCCACTGAGCACCAACATCACATTCTGCCTCCTCAGTTTGGTAATCTGTAAAGATCAATTATGATGAAAAATATTCATTGGTGTCTTTTCAATTCTGAAAATCCAAAATGTTTAACGTCAATCAGAAAAGAATATTGCACACTGTACCCCCATTAATTCAGTTCATTACAATTAAAATTTAGGCTTTATTTAAGTGTTTTTTTTATTAATTTAACAATTTGAATTCGGAATGAACATGAAATAAACTAGTAGTTCCAAAAAGTAAATTATTATTATAGGAATACATTATGAAATAGATTAAGATGAATAAATTATAGGAATAGAACAAGAATTATATCAAGATAATGCAAATGTCATAACTGTTAATCTAATACGTTGAATAGCAGAAAGAAAGAAATTATGTAAGAAATTTCGTTAGGGAGTTATATATACTGTACAGTATGTTGCATTTAATTTAAGTTATACTGTATTTAGTTAAAGTAATATTTAATAGTTACCTGAAATGTAAATAATTACTCCTGATTTAAATAGATGTCTTGTGCAAGTCTACATTCTTTTGTTTGCATGCACACCCTACCAGCTACTGTTAAATGTCAAATTACCTGCCATAGTCAGTTCCTTAATGATCCTGACCAGAGAAACACAATACTCACCACCTTCAGTAAAAACCAGCGATCGTGGAGGGGCTCACCAACCAAGCACAACCATTAATTCCTGACCTTCAGCCACATCAGCAAACTTTAAGTATCAGTTTATATTGTAGCATATCCTAACTTTATACTGTACTTTGTACGTAGTTTGATGTACTGATATAATATAAACTCCCACATTGCTACTTAAGGTAATCAACCATTTCGAGTGTTTATTTAATGCACATAAATTAATGTAAATATTTCTTGTCCTTATATCAACCAATTCAGGACAGTAAAAAAACTACGTTTGGTGCATAGCCGGAGAGCCAGCCGGGTTAATAACACATTATCAAAAAATTTTTAATTTTCCTCAAAATATCGCACACTGAATTCCAGATGAGCGATTGCACCATAGTATATTCTCAGTCTGTTGGTTACAGAGCGGTAACATCTGATCAGTCCCGCAGACCCGCTCTCCCTAACAATGTTACCAGCACTCTCCATCTCTCAAACACCGTTGTTGTCAAAAGTTCTCATCTTTCTTGGCCTCTTACTGGCACCCAGCGATCAAATACACATGATGATACTAGATGACTAATTCATTTATACCTGTATATTAAAACCATGACAGTATATATTAACTTGATATCCACATTATAATGATCTTCACAACAGTATAAACAGAGCTCTGACATGGGAAACTCTCAGTGAGCAGTAAGTCACCACATCTTCCTTCTCTTCACTTCCCTCGGTACTGTGACGAACATTTTTCCTGGTGTGGCTCTGTCCATACTCTTACACATTGGAACGAAACACCAATGATGCATTTTCTTTCCTTGAACATTATTTTTAGTCAATGATGCCTGTCAAAGTGCACACATCAACTGGCTTCATTACAAGCGAGTGAAGTCACAGCCAATCAATGGGCATTTTGCAGTCACTTAATTTTTCACCAACTTTAACCCTTTTTGTTTATACTTTCTGGCCTATTTTATTCGAAAATATGGTTACCATAGTGAAATTCAGCACATTTTTAACTTGCTTAAGTAATTTTTTATTAGAAAAAGGTGACCGTCAACTCGTCCATTGTCTAAACTAAACAGCAATCATAATTAATTTGTTCCACATTTTGATAGCACAGCCATGGTCTTTTATTAACTGCAATGGAGTAGGGCTCTACCACCAATTGCATGTGTAAATTGCTATTCCAAAATTCCCGATATAGACTGGACTTTATACATGCTGAACAGTATAGTACAGTACTTATGAAGGGAGAGAGGATGGTAATAAATATAAATAACAAATAACTTACCAGCTTGGCATCCTATCTCAGTGCACGATCCTCTTCCCCCTAGGCACTGACACCAGTTACATGACTGACGCCAACGAGACCCTTCAAGGCAAGTTGCGTCTCCCTCCACTTCAACGGTTGAGCCAGCTTGATCTATGAGTGAATGTAGCATAAAGTTTTAATTAGTACTATGACAGTATATATATATATATATATATATATATATATATATATATATATATATATATATATATATATATATATATATATATATATATATATATATATATATATATATATATATATATATATATATATATATATATATATATATATATATATATATATATATATATATATATATAT